CCATTACCAGTAACTAATTTAGAAAGATAATACATTTAATTTTAAACTAAATAAATTGAGACGTGCATTAAATTTGTCCATCAGTGTACAAGATGAATATTCAGACATGAAAAAACAATGTTGGGAATACCCCGAAGGAGCGTATTAGGTCCATTACTATTCGTGCTTTACACTAGCAATTTACCTAATATGGTTAATGTAAAATTAACGTTTGTCGATGATACAGCTGTGATTTGAACAGAAGTCAGTAGACAAAAAAAATCGAGAATCGAGCTCATTCATTACAAATCAACACGCATCAATTAACAAATAAAAAACCGGACCATATTCTGTCAAGCACCATCGATGGACCTATCATACCATACACTGAGACAGCTAAATATCTGGGAACGACCCTTTCATAGTTGGAAATCCAAGAAATTGCAGCCAAACACTAGTCGAAGCGATAAAATATCTACAGGACGGTAGCATTGTCAGAAGATTAAAAAGAACAAAATCTGTTCAGAGATAATTTTGTTACTAACGTGTTTATAAAAACGTGTAAATTACTTATTATATAACATTGTAAAATTAATGGTTGGTCTATGAAGACCAGTTTTAATAAAAAGCATACTAATAAAAAAAAGGAATTCGTGCTACAGCGTTATCTGCAAGGCAAGGCCATAAAACGATTATGACTTTACAATGCATTTAAGTATGAACTAACACGGTGAAAAAAAAATTGGTATTAAAAAACTATAAGGGTCATAAAAACTTAACTTTTCATTTACAAACGGCCATAATTTGCTTTGACAAATGTGTAATTTAGTGTCGCTCCGATGTGGCAAAGGAAATTTTATCAGTTAAAAACTGAACCCGAACACAATAGTACAACAGATAAACTAAATTTAAATTATATTCTTGAAGCCAAAATAAAATTTTGGACCGCTGTGTGGCACGGCGGTGAAATCTAACACTTACGCAACGCTGACAAATCGTGCGGGTTTAGCCTACCTATATAAATATTCAGTGCTACAGTTTAAGATAGAATTGACGCTACAAATAGTCTTAATATTGTTTAAAAAAAGTAAAATTTGTTCAACTACACACCAAAAGCTGCTAGTAATACACGATACTTAATCTGAAAATTGCGTGTTGCAGTTTTTTATAATTTTTTTTATTTATTTTGTTTTGTCTTTCTCGCGTTTTAAGCCTACTAATTTCTTTTCTTGTTTTATGATAAAACCAACTGTCTCTTTCTTTTATCCTATTGCAAGCCTCTCTGTACTTCAGGACCTCTTCACTTATGGATAAAGCACAAATGAACTGAAACGAGATAAAAATATGATAGTCTGGTTAACATGCACACTACGCCAGAGTACTCGATATTCGGGTAATTTAGAATAAGCCTCTCCATTCACGCAAATAAATACATTCATGCCTATAAATAAAGCATACCACGTGAAGGTACAAAGAGCTTTATATAATTTAAAATATTTGTAGTTTTGGGGTTAAGAGCATTATTACAAAAATGCAGTGATCATACGAAGAAGATCGATAAAACAAGATATTAAATTACAATTTATTTTATAGAACTATTGAACTATAAAATAGTTCAATAATAAACTATTTTTGTTTCCTAAACAAAATATTTCTTAAAATGATCATATTGTTTTCAACTTGATATCTCGTTTATGACGATTTTTTTAAATCAACAATATACATTTCTGCCAATTAAGTTGTATTAAAATTACTTAATTTTATCATTTATCATTTGACAAACGATTTGTTATGTTTGACAATAGATTGTCGATAAAACTGATCATCGTGTTCAAAGATTATCGCTGATAGTCTCAAATGATTCACTTTTGTAATTTTATTTTGCTTCGTATAAAGTGATGACGTGCAAATAATTCGCTTGGTTTGAACGTCTTTAAAGTATCTTTACGAATAGGTTGTTGCTTAGAGGATAATCATGATATTAAGCTGCTTTAAATGGATAAACTTTATTCGAAGCTAGAGAACAACTTGTCTTCCAGTTAATCAGAGGTACTTCAAAACGTTCGAAATCTGAAATAATTTATGTACATAGTTGGAAGGAATGGTGAAGATGTGGTGCTGTTTTATGAAACAATTCCCCCAATACTCCCGCCCTTTCAAGAGCGGAATTGAAAATTAAGGAATTCTCCGGTTTGTCCCGCCTTTTGCCCCAACCTCGGGAACATCGAAATCCGTTTGCCTGTCGGCTAAAGAATAAAGGCGGGGCAGAGATTATCAATTTCGATATAAAAAAAACCTTCTACCAAAAACTTCACCAAAATTAGCTTAAACAATAATTGAAATCTGATTCAAACAAAAACCTGACCAGGATCTTTCTTTGATTAGTTGTATATAACAACTCCAACGATTCCATCGTACACCTCACTTTCCTTTCTTATGGAAGTACTTTGTTGTCATTCACTATCCTAAAACCGGGAACACACTTACGCCATGCAAACGCTACCCGATGCTACCCGACTCCAAATCCAAACTCCGATTTTCCATAAGGTTGCATTACCGCCGTGCTCATCTGCCCGATGCTACGCAACGCTACCCTACTCTACGATCGGCGATCCCCACTGTCCAGATTTTCATCGGGTAGCATCGAGTACAATTGAAGACAAAAGAACCGGACACTCATATTTTTATTCAATCTACATGTATTATTGCCGTTATATAAATTACGACATACTTATTTTCATATAAACCAAATTAACCAAGATCAAAAATTCATTAGTTTTATTTTAAAAAAATTAATTTTAATGGTTTGGTAGAAAATCAATCAAAACACCAGAATATCATTTTTTGATATAATAAATTTAACCAACAATTTATTACACGGTTTTGCTCATAAAATTTAACTAATAATTATTTATTTCATGGTTTTGCTCGTAAAATTACACCATTTTCGTCGTGTAACGTCAGAACAGGACACTCATATTTTTTTATAGTTTATTTCAAACTAATTACATGTAATTTTTCGTTATATTAATTACAACATGTTATTTTAATGTAAACCAAATTAAACAATATCAAAAATTCATAAGTTTTTATAAACATTGTTTAACTATGATGGTTAGGAATAACTTTATTTAAAACAATTAAGTTTAACAAACAATTTATTATGGTTGTACTCTTAAAATTTAACTAACAATTTATTACAAGGTTTTGCTCAAAATAGTGCATTAAGAACAAAAGATGCGTTGCGATTGTGATAGTGATTATTGTGTTAAACGCTGTGGACTGTACGCGACGAGTCCTTGCGTCGGATAGAGTACACACCCCACCAAAACGTGGCAAGGCGTCGGGTAGCATCGGGTAGCGTCGCATGGCGTAGCATCGAGTAAGTGTGTCCCTGGCTTTAGAGTTGTCGACACCATTAACTCCGATATGGAGAAAAAGAGTACCGCTTGGTATGTTCCTGGATGTGAATCAAGGTTTTGATTAGGTCTGGCAGCCATCCATTCGTTATAAACTTAAATGCTTACCCACCCTTTACTATTTTATGTTAAAATCCTATTCAACTGATCGCTTCATAGAAAAAACTAAAATCCATTAACACAGTTCGGCCGCAATACATGAAAGCTTACTGCTGTAGAGGATAGGGCCTAGGATACTACCTTGTACTCCAGCGTTAACTGGGAAGATAGGAGTGAGTGCACGATCTTTACTAACTTGAAAATATCTGTTGGAAAGATAGGATTGAGGATAAGGTAGCAGGGAAAGATGTCGTTGACCTTACATAACTGCTTATTCTTGTATTTTTTCCCTATTTGGAATCGAAGGGGCCCCATCCTGAAATACAACCTAACGGACCGCTGCCTTAGAGTGTAGTGCGGCAACGAGTTCTCGGAAATCAGACCGATACAAGCCGATGTCCCACAAAGGAGCATTGTTGGTCCCATCCTTTATATCATCTATTCTGCTAACCTACCGCACGCCATAGCAGAATGACGAGGAAACCCCACACAAAACTTAAAACAAACACCTTAACGTAAGACCTGAACAATTACGAAGTAGGACCGAAATCTGGCATATTTGTCAAAACTAAACTAACGTCTTACAAGACATTACTAGGACCACTTTGGACATACGGAATGAAACTGTGGGGTTCTGCCAAGTCACCCAAAGGAACCAATCCTTCCAATTAAAAGCAATTCTGTCTTCTAACCCGAATACTATCCAAACACCCTTGAACGTCAAAGAACAACTTAAGTTTATCAAAGATTGGTGCAAAAAGAGGGGAGAAAAAGTGTTCAATTTCCTGAAAAATGAAGTTTTTACGCATAAAAGTGAACTTTTTCTCTGAATTATACCGACTGATTACATAACGAATTTTGAGATATTTTAAGTTGATAAATGGTTTTATTTGATTGTTTAACAAGGTTGTTTTAAGTCGTTTTCTTCATGGCAGGGAGACAGCCAATTTGGTCCATATTTGTACGTATCGCTTTATTTCTCTTAATTTAATATTATTGGCTTGATCTTTGCTTAAGTCTTTTCTTCTTGTTTCACTAAATGTTTTTTAATAATACCGATCATTTTTTTCCCAAAAAAGCGTGCTTATTTACGAATTTATATGTAAAATATCAAAAATAAAACAAATTCGTTTCACGTCCACTGGTAAATAAAATAATTATAATTTGTTCGTAGTAAAGTGAAGGGCAGTTTCAAAAGTTGACAATAACAAATTAGGCGGACCTGATCAAACAAAGCCAAGTATTTGTAGTTGGCAGTTTTCGCTAGTTTGGTTAAGTTATTGGGTTTGTTGGTTTGAGTTTCCCGTCTTCGGTAAATCAACTCTAACGCTAAAGGAAAACGTATGATTCACATTCAACAATCACAAATCCATATTTAATCGGAAAAACGATTCCCTGTTTGACTAATACCGATGACGAAACTTTTGATCCTGTTTAGTTAGTTGTTTGGCTTTCTGCGGAACCTATGTTTTCTTCATTCATTTGCTTCGCTTCAACACGTCCAATGCAAGATGTTCCAATGGTAAATTCATGGATTATGTAATTTGTTTCAAATTAGTTATTAATTAATTATAAATATCTGTTGATCATTTTTTAATTACTCATAAATTATTTTATATTTGTTTAAAATATAATACCCAACTATAGTAGTATGTGTGGTGTGTTTTCCCTCCATAGTAACCCAAAAAAGGGAGTGTACATTTTTCAGAATATTGAGTTCCCCATCGACCCTCAATTACATTAGTTATACAATATGTACCTATAATATGGCATGTGTAGAGGTAACTCAATGTGTCCTACTTTCTTGGCTCCATATAGAGAGCAGGTAAGAATGCCACCCGATATGACAATTGTGCTTGAGGATAAAAGTGAGGATTGCAGTTCTCTATTTCGTTGCACATAATTGAAGGTTCCACTCATCGGCTTCATATGGAGAGCATGTAGGAATGCCACATGATATGAGAATTGTTCTTGGGCACGGCAGCAAGAATCTGGGTTCACCATTCTGATTCTTGGATGAAACACCGTTGTTTTATTGTATATAGAGCTGATACTGTTATGTACCCAGTGTGTGTAGAAAGTAATTATTAGCGTGAATGCGTAGTCTGAGATGATGGAATGTTGAGTACTCCATCAACCCTAAATTTGGTTAGTAATATAATAAGTGAAAAGGGTGATGGAGGAATATTGAATATCCATCACCCTGAGTAAATGCTATGTAAATAAGAAAGAATGTTTTTAAAAGTGAGTGGTTTTGGGTCTAGAAATTGATTGCATTGGAGGCAGAAATGCTAGCTGTTGGTAACCCCTGGAGCCCAACATCGGTGGCTGGAAGAAGGATAAGGGTGAAGTTTGACCCCAGACTGCCAACACCGGATGTGGGTGATTATTGAGGTTTGCCGGTAATCTATTGTAAATTACAAAAGCTAGAATTGCCAGTGGGCTGGAAGAAGTGAGAGGCTCAACTCTGTACATGTGTGTGCGAGGTTATATAAATCAGTAATCAGTAACGTATTTTGACTGGATGAGTATGGTTAAAAATGTTATTTGCTCAATTTCTTAAATTGTTTCCTTACCTGTACGTCACAAGCACCATCACTCTCATTATTTTTATATAATAAACAATAGCAATAATATTCCCGTTATTTAAAGGGGGTGATAGGAGTGTGGTCAGCAATTATAGAGGGATTGCCTTTTCTGATACTACATCGAAATTGTTTGTTGGGCTACTTTGAAACATTTACAACAGTGGGTAATCGAGAATAATGCTTTGAATGAGTTTCAGGCTGGGTTCCGGCAGGATTACTCAACGGTATATAATCTGTTTGGTCTGTTTAATATTGTGAAATTAAAACTGTGCGAAAAATGGAAAAAAGTGTACTGTTTTTTTGTAGATTTTCGAGCTGCATTTGATTCGCCAGATAGAAATCTTTTATTTTATAAACTGCACATGATAGGGTTATTGAATAAATTTATAAATGTTTTAAAGAGTCTGTACGAGGAAACTGAATCTGCTGTGTGGATGAAGGAGGGAATTTCAAATACCTTTAAGACAAACATAGGGCTAAAGCCTATGTTTACTATCTCCACTTTTATTTTTGTTATATATCAATGATCTATGTGATTTTGTAGGCGGTGGATTGCATATTGATGGGTTGAATGTTCGTTGTTTGTTCTATGCAGATGACATTGTATTATTAGCAACGGAGCCCAGTACACTGCAGAAAATGATAAATAAGCTTTACGAGTATTGCCAGTTATGGAATTTGTTTGTTAACTTAAACAAGTCAAAAATAATGGTCTTCCGCAGAGGGGGTAGGCTTGGGAGAAAAGAGGTTTGGAACTATGCTGGATAAAATATTGAGATTGTGAACTATTATAAATATCTGGGTATATATCTCACACCGCAGCTTGCTATGGAAAGACATCTTAAAGAAAAATTAAATGTAGCCAAATTTGGTATTAATACTACTTGGAAGTCTCTCTTGTTGAATAGTGATGTTCACATTTCAGCAAAATATAATGTATTTAACTCTGTTTCCAAGGCGGTAATGTTATATGGTGCTTAGGTTTGGGGCTATAAATGGTATGACAGTATGGAGAAATTGAATAAATATTTTGTCAAAAGGCTGTTTTCCTTAAGAAAAGATACACCGGATTATGTCTTATATTTGGAGACAGGGATTGACCCATTGTTTTTCAACACATTAAGCCTGCATCTGACATACATCCAAAAAGTTTTATGATTGTCTTCTACTAGACTTCCTCGAATTTTGGCCTCGAAAATACTAGACAAGAAAATATTTTGGGCAAAAGAACTTGGCATTTTGTGTATACAACACAGTTCAACCCCCTTGAGTTACTCCGACGTAAATAAAAATAATGTGGAAAGCTTGGTAGATGTTTTGAGAACTGATTTTAAAAATAAATTAAAATTAAGAGCACAACGGTCTGTCTTCCATGGCTTATACGAAGAACTGAATCTGGAATTAGGAGAAAATCACCATTATTTAAATAAAAATTATAACTTGAAAATGATAAGTGTGATAATGAAAGCAAGAGGTCAGTTGCTGCCTCTTGATTACTCGGTCCACAGAAATGAGGAAGCGTACCGTTGTGCTTTGTGTAATTTAGGTGTGTATGAGGATGGCTTCCATTTTTTGGCGGTGTGCTCTATATTGAAGGAATACAGACTTAGGTGGTTTGGCAAATTGTTTTTAGAAACAAATGAAGTAATTTCATTTTTGAATGGGCAGAACTGGCACAGTCTCTACAATTATGTTTTGTACTCCCTAAAATACAGAGCGTTCCTAGTCGATAATTTCAATTATTAATAAAGTATTGTGTAAATTATGACTATTTTTATTAGTATTGTTAGTATTAGTATTCGTATTATTAACATTATTAATATTATTCTATGTTTTTTTTTTTTGGCAACTCGACAGACAGCCTGTGGGCTATTGTCTAGGATGTTTTATGTACTGAATATTTTCTGTAAAATAATTTTTATTGTAAATAAACCATTATCTATCTATAATAAACCTAATTGACAGACATGGGGTACTCATGTACACACATTCGCATACACTATCAGTTTTCTAACGGTGCACACATTCACGCTACTAATTACATTCACTCTCAACACACACTAGGGACACAAAACTATCAGTACTATATACAATAAAACAACCCTGTTTCCTCCAAAAATTGGAACAGGAAACCCAGATACTTATGCTCAATCATAATTCTCATATTAGGTGGCATTCCTACATACTCTCTATATGGAGTCAAGGAATTGCACTCTTCAACAAGGTGGATCGAGCAACCTGTCTCTACATGTCAGTCAAATACACAGGTCTTTGCCCAAAAGTAAGTGTCAGTGACCTTCAGGTGTTTCTTCCATTTTGCATAAATCACATAAAAGTGAACTTTTCATGCTTAACCTATACCAACATGAATTGCACAAGGCATGATCAGATCTCAGCCGACATAATCTCTACTTAACTAAACTAAAACTATGTTGTCTGAACCATGGGTTTGAGTTTTCTTTTGGTTTCCTCATGTTAATATAAAATCTACCTGTTTCACCATTCCTAATGTGATTATTCCATTCCTTGGACCTTTTGAAGCTAGTAATTAAGTAGTTAATAAGTAGTCAAATATCTCTAATTGTCCCAGCTGTTGTTCCTTCCTTCGCTAGTATATCCACTCTCTCATTTATCTCAATCCCCTCATAGCTTCTGATCCATGTATGTTGAACATACAATTTCTCTAAATTAGCCAAGATATTAAGGCATATACTATTATGTGAAAATCTCTTTTTCTTGTTAGCAATCAAGTGAAGTGCACTTCTACTATCTGTCAAAATCACAATATGACTATTGGAAAGAGAGAGTGCATATTCCAAAGCCAGCGGTGGCAGACCCTCTGGATTGCAGAGTCCACCCAGACAGCGGGTTGCAGGGAGGGCAGAGCATCTTGCACAAACAGTAGTAAAAATAAAATCTCCATTCTGGGTATTTAATTTTATTTAAAAAAGAGATATTGTTTAGCAAAAGGTTTCAAAAGGAAGAATTTGATTTTTACTTTTTTGTACAAATAAGTTGCAAAAGGATAAATTTAATTCTTTCTTTTGTGATCTTTTGTTAAACAAATACTTTTTTAAATACTCTTTTGTAAATTCTATTCACTACTTTGTAAATCAAATTTACCCTTTTGCAAATTAAATTCACTTTTTTTGAGCTGGATCGACAGAGAAGCTCTCATGTGCCAAGAGCATTATCGATACATGGCCTTGGAGGATCTTCCTCATACAAGAATGATCGTTCTTACCTGATTAAGCATACATCATCTGAGGTTAATACACTGACACTTACTTTTGGGCAAAGACCTGTGTATTTCACTGACATGTAGAAACAGGTTGCTCGATCCACCTAGTTGAAGAGTGCAATTCCTTGACTCCATATAGAGAGTATGTAGGAATGCCACCTAATATGAGAATTATGCTTGAGCACGAGTATCTGGGTTTCCTGTTCCAATTTTTGGAGGAAACAGGGTTGTTTTATTGTATATAGTACTGATAGTTTTGTGTCCCTAGTGTGTGTTGAGAGTGGATGTAATTAGTAGCGTGAATGTGTGTACTGTTAGAAAGCTGATGGAGTAGTATTGGTCAATTAGGTTTATTATATAAAAATAATGAGAGTGATGGTGCTTGTGAAGTACAGGTAAGGAAACAATTTAAGAAATTGAGCAAATAACATTTTTAACCATACACATCCAGTCAAAATACGTTACTGATTACTGATTTACATAACCTCGCACACACATGTACAGAATTGAGCCTCTCACTTCTTCCAGCCCACTGGCAATTCTAGCTTTTGTAATTTACAATAGATTACCGGCAAACCTCAATAATCACCCACATCCGGTGTTGGCAGTCTGGGGTCAAACTTCACCCTTATCCTTCTTCCAGCCACCGATGTTGGGCTCCAGGGGTTACCAACACCTAGCATTTCTGCCTCCAATGCAATCAATTTCTAGACCCAAAACCACTCACTTTTAAAAACATTCTTTCTTATTTACATAGCATTTACTCAGGGTGATGGATATTCAATATTCCTCCATCACCCTTTTCACTTATTATATTACTAACCAAATTTAGGGTTGATGGAGTACTCAACATTCCATCATCTCAGACTACGCATTCACGCTAATAATTACTTTCTACACACACTGGGTACACAACAGTATCAGCTCTATATACAATAAAACAACGCTGTTTCATCCAAGAATCAGAATGGTGAACCCAGATTCTTGCTGCCGTGCCCAAGAACAATTCTCATATCACGTGGCATTCCTACATGCTCTCCATATGAAGCCGATGAGTGGAACCTTCAATTATGTGCAACGAAATAGAGGACTCCAATACTCACTTTTATCCTCAAGCACAATTGTCATATCGGGTGGCATTCTTACCTGCTCTCTATATGGAGCCAAGAAAGTAGGACACATCGAGTTACCTCTACACATGCCATATTATAGGTACATATTGTATAACTAATGTAATTGAGGGTAGATGGGGAACTCAATATTCTGAAAAATGTACACTCCCTTTTTTGGGTTACTATGGAGGGAAAACACACCACACATACTACTGTAGTTGGGTATTCTATTTTAATAATTAATTAATTTAATTTTAAATCTAATAATTTATCAATAAATTAAAAATGATCAGCAGTTATTTATAATTAATTAATAACTAAACTAAACTCCCACCTCAATGCAACACATAAATTACTGAAATATGTGCTGTACTGTTAGCAATATGTGACTCTGCCACACTATTAAACACAAAGACAATCATAATATTTTCAGATTGTCTAGCAGCATGACAAGGAATACAAGATCCATACTCGAATAATATGTTTATACAAGAAATAAATGAACAGATATATGACATGAGTAGTAAGACAATATCATTAACCCTTTTGCTGGATTCCTGGACATGTAGGAATCGAGGGAAATGAAATGGCAGATAAAGCTACAAAACAAGGACTAAATTCAAGTACAACCCAGTGGGTAGAGATTAGAGATCTGAAACGATCTGCCCAAAATAAAAATAAAGAAAAATGAAAAAATGATTGGTATAGAACTACTAACAATAAATTAAGAAAAATCAAAAATACAACAAAAAGTAGCAAACCTCTTCACAAAAAAACAGAAGAAAGGAAATGGTACTATGCCGCCTAAGGATAGGTCACACTCGATTAACCCATCAATATCTCATAGAACAAAAAAACTCTCCAACATGTAAGCGTGGTGAAAGGCTCAATGTTTTCTGCATATTCCTTTCCATTGGTAACGCCCCACCAGAAATGGATAAGAACTTGTCAGTTGTCTTGGGAGACGACCAGCAAAAGATAAAAACCTTACGCCCTTTTAAAACAACTGAATATATATAACAAAATTTAACAACAAAAAGAATTTATATAAAATAATATAAAACAAAATAACTAAAAACAAATGAAAATGAAATAAAAAATAATAACAAAAAGAACGACTATAAAATAGTAATAATAATACTTATAATGAAAAATGAATAGTGGCAATAATAGTGATAATGAGTATTAATGGCAAATAATAGTAATATTAAAAATAAACCAAAAATTTGTTGAGGGGGATGGGGGTTCTGTCCTCGGGCTTGGCATGGGTGACATGGTGGAGGGGCAGAGTAAGAACTAAAGATTGCATGAGCAATCCGAGGCTTGAGAGATGTGGATGATCACAGCCCATGCACATACATAACTTGGCCTGCAAGAGAAAAAAGAAAAAGAGAAAGAAGATTTGCTTACACAACCTCCCTGTGTCCTAACCTCTATGGAACTAAGTGGCCTTCCTTGCGACTTGATCCCATCCACCTAAATACAATATTATTGATAATAAATCAAAAATAAAATAAAAATAAATAAATTTAAAAAATAAATTAATAATAATTATTATTTATTTAGAAATCGTGAGATGCGGTCTGGTGTGATGTAGGTTTCAGATAAACATTTTCTTTATCGAGNAGAAATTAAGAATTAAAAAAAAAAAACAATTTGTTTAACAAATGGTTGCAAACGTTGAATTTGTTTTGCAAAAGGTGAATTTAATTAACTAAAGTGATTTTTTTTTTTTTAAGTTAATTTGTTCAATAAAAGGTTGTAAGGGTGGATTTAATGTGAAAATTTATTTTTTAAAACCTGTATCAGCAGCATCTTTATTTGTGATTTTTAAAACACTTTTGCAAATGATTACATAATAAGATGAATTACGCGAAATTGCACTTTGTTTTATAGTTAAAAATATCGTCTCGTCTAAAATTATTTTTAATGCGTCCAAACAAAAGGAAACGGAGAAAATTGAACGTCGTCAGTGAAAAAAGGGACATTTCGTTGTCAGAAGAGGGAATTTTTTTATCAATTGGGAGGATTGCGTTTGTGATCTCCGATGTTCAGTTTTCGTTTCGGTTTGTAGGTTCGCCGCAGGTGCCCTCGGTTCCGGCAGTCACGGTTCTGAATCGTTCACTGTGTCGTTTTGACTCCGTCGCATCCGACGCGATAACGACCGACAATAAAACACGGGACAGAGATCAGGGTAAGAATAAAGGTACGATGTCGCAGCCCCCTCCTCTGTTGGATTCCGTCGATATATTCGACGCGAACGAAGATAGCGAGGATCTTTTTTCATCGGCCATCGATGTAAGAAAGCGAAAAAAGGGAACAATTTTCTTCACGATTCATTAAAAAAACTTTGTTCTTTATTTTCCCAGGACAAACTAGAGACAAAATCTTGCCTGAACCCCTTGCCCGAACTGCCGACATTGCAGCTCTCCGTGGTAAAATGGATTTTTTTTTCTTTAGAGATCTTTTTTTACCGTTTCGAAGAGGTTTTTGTCTAAATATAATGAATCATCTTTGTTTTTATTGATGATTTCAGGACAAGAGTCCGATCTCCAGCCCAATCGAGGAAGTCTCGGAGGAGCCGGAAGAGGTTCAGGTGTCGCCACCGGCCCAGAAAAAACAATCGCCTCGTCTTAAGGTAAGTCGGAGAATTTTCAGAAATTTTCTACTAAATCGCAATTTTTTGATTATTAATTCTAACGGAAGAGTGACTGTTAAAAAAAGGACAGTTAATATCTGTCAAAAGTGATAAGCGGTGATAAGGATATAATTTGAATCTTCATTCCATGTTTTTTTTTTCTCATATTTGCCTGAATAATTTTCATTTTTAGAACATTTCCCATCGAAATTTATTTTTTCTTAAAAAACCTCTTTTTTTTCTTGCAACAAACAAAAAAGAAAAACAGTTTTCCTTGTTGGCTTGGAAAATGGGTTGTAAATGTGACCAGGCTTGTCTTATTATGGGAGGTGACAGGATATTGGCATCTTCGGAATATCCAGTACCACGGCGCCAGACGTGCACTCCTATTTTTTGGCTGGGGGGGGCGCAGTGCTTTTCCGGGGGGGCATTGTCAGCACCTACGCACTTTCAGGCTATTTCAGGCAGGGGGCAGGACCCCTGTTGCTAGCGGTCTTTCCAGGGAAGGTGGAAAGTATGAAAATCCTTATACGTTACGTTTTCCTTCTTTTAATAACATTTGACAACCTGAGGTACCGTTGAAAGGGTAACAAGATAAGAAAACAGGAGACAAATTATGAGAGTCAGAGACAAAGATGCCCAAAAGAAAAGAAAAAAACACAAATTTTCGCTTAAAGCTCAGAGACCATTTGATGTTTATCAGCCTGTAAATAAATAATAATAATAATTTGAAAAACTTTCACTGACAAAACATTCAAGTCAAATTATCTTAGAACAGTTCGTTTATCAGCTTCTTTTTTTTTTTGTTTTTTAATACTACACTCAAAAAGAAAAAAACGTATTTATTTGTTTATTGTTTACAATAACTAAGATCTAATTCAGGCAGATGCTTTGGGCAACGGACGTTACATGGCTCAAGTCCTGGTTGTGCCGCACCCTATCGTTCATGATGGTCTGTGGTGGTTTAGGGCCACAGGAAGTCTCAATCAAAGATAAGGTCGACCTCGATGTATGAAGGCTAGAGACGACTGTTCTGTTGCTCTTGATGCGCTACTTAACCATCATTTAACAAAGCGACTCCAAATGGTTTATCTCTAAAACAGTCATTAGAAAGCTTCATGAGAATAGAATCTAGATGTCTTGTTAGGTTCTCTACTGCTGGAGTAGAGTTGCTGGAGGCATCGAGTAGAAAGGCAACTATTTTTATTTGTGAAAATATCAAAAATGGCAAATACACCTAAGTCAGAAAAGAAAAATTGTACAGCCTGCCCTCGGTGAGAAAAACTTTGTTTTGGTATAAAATAAATTCCCTTAAGTGAATTCCATTTAAGAATCGAGTTGCTTAGACACTTCTGGAGCAGGCCATGGTGCCAACCAAAATCACATGAACATAAAAGGTAGGAAATTTGATAAGAAAATAGGTGTAAACTATGTCCAAAAACTTATTAGTTATGCCTGTAAAGAGGCGTCAACAATGTTCTACAATAAAGCTCAAAGTCCTCACTGAGGGCTGCCCTGCGTTACACCGACCTTTTACCAATTTCAGCAAATTTATAATTTTTTACCAGTTGTAAAAAGCATGATCAAACAAAATTTGTATTGTTTTATAGTATGCATGCAAGTGCAGACATATTGCTCAACTTTCGATCAGAAACCAAGAAAATTTGTGACTTTGTAGTTATTCTAATCAGTAGTTTTAGTAATTTATTTGTCTAGGGATAGGGAAAAAGTGACCTGTGTAGATCTATGTGTTTTTTTTTTTTCTTATAAATTACTGGCTAGCTTCAGGTTGTAGTTAACCTCCATAGCCTTGCCAGCGGCTCCTTAGTGTAGGAGATTGTTTGTGGCTTTTCCTCTCCTAGCTGCAGGAATTTAATAGAGGGTCCTACATAGACCCTCACAAAAGTATAAAATGTGTTCCCTCCGGTCTACTCGTCTTACTGGAAGAATCTGCACAGTGTTTCTTCTGTCTGTACTCCTATCCAGTGCATGTGCCTTCTTAGGCAGCAGTGCCCTGTCAGAAGTCCAAACAGAATCCTGGTTGAGTTGTGGTTACCCTCTGGTAATCCTATGGAAGTCAATTTTTAATCTATCACTGTAATTTTTTTATATTTTTTATTATTAATTTTCTTTGAAGCCAGCATAATTAAATAATTTTTATTAAAATTTATTTAGAAATCATGAGATGCGGTCTGGTGTGATGTAGGTTTCAGAAAAACATTTTCTTTATCGTGCCAACGTTTCGATCTTTATTGAGATCATCTTCAGGGCCTGGANTTTTTTTTTTTTTTTTTAAATCATTATTTATTAAATCTTGCCTAGTGTTGGAACAAGTGCAGAACGCATTTATCCAAGAAAGAATCAAGTTGTTATAGGCTTTTTTTTACCAGGGAACCAGAAAAGTTTAGTGTGGTTTTTCATTTGTTATTGTTTTAATCCATTAATCAACATTTCTGTTTTCATAAGATTAGATTTTACATCACATATTATCAAAAGGATAATACATCAATTTATAAAGAAAAAGTGAACAGTCCATTGAAAATTATAAAATATTTCCTTTCTTGTATGTACTTACTGTATGAATTTTATCTCGGTACTAGAGTGGCTGAGGCAGCTCATAAAAGTTGCAGTTCATGAGTCAATGAGGGGATTGAAGATGAACCACAGTCTGGTAGGCCTTCTGTTTTGAAAGGAAATGGGAAGTTTTCAAACTTGTCAGAAGGTTGCCAGATTGTTCAATTTAAGCGATGAAACCATTCACTCTAGTTTACATAGACTTGGGAAGACTTGGCTGAGCAAATGGGTTCCTCCCAAATTGACCGACAGTAATAAGCTTCACCTTCTAAAGATTTGCCTTTTATTGCTTCCAAGGCACAAATTCTAGACTCTTTTCCCTTTATGTAGTCACATGAGATGAAAAATTTCTCCTGTAACACTATAACAGCACCAGGAGGTGGTCGTACCATTGGCTATCACCCTGTTCTATTGATACAAAAACCAAATATTCACCAACAAAAGGTGATGATTAGTGTTTTTGTTTAGTAACCTACTTTTTTTAAACTTATTACTTTACTCAAAACTGTCAGTTCTATATACAGTAAAACAACCCTGTTTCAATGCTTACTTCAAGAATCGGCACAGGGGATCCAGATACTAGCTACCAAATTCAAGCATGATTCTCATATCGAGTGGCTGGCATTCCTAAAAACTCTCTTTTTTGACCAACTGTGTACCAACTAAACATATTTGATAACATTATTGTTTCTTTTATTGATTTTATGGACCATTATACCTAAAATTTGAAGAAATTGTTCTTAAAAAAAATTCCACCCAAGACGACAGGTCAGAATTAAATTAGATAAGTATTAAGTAAAATAAGTTGGACCTCTATTAAATTTTAAAATATAGGGGAAAAATCCACCCTCCATCTTTGAAACTCCATTTTCCATTGCGAGTTAAAATACTGCTTATAACTGAATTGTATTTCACTTAATATAAAGGTCTTAAGTGTAGTATTTCCTTTTCATCTCGGCAGAGTCTGCAAAGAGGTTTATATATGTTTAGGAGATTAGTGAGACGTACATTATAAGAGAGAAAATATTGAATTTAGTCGACCTTTGGTCATTTGTTTAGAATTCCAGGCTCTTATGGGATGGACCTCTGTTTTCGGACCAAATTAGACAAGCAAAGTCCGTGAAATTTTCTTTTTTCTTCTTAGAAATATAAAGGGTTCTCCAGCCCACATAATTTTGTATCCACATCCTAAGTCTAAAGTAGTTGTAGAAACTTGCTAATCACCATGGTGTTTCTATACAAGACTAGTAATATGGTGAGTTTTCTTTTTTATTTTAACCCTTTGAATGTATTTGAACAAATTTCCAACCATTTTGCAATGCAAACCTTTTCAAAATGTACTAACAAATAAAAAATTACGATGTTTTACTATCTCCAACCTCATTTCTATAAATATTGACCCCCTTATTTTTTATTATCAAATCTCAATTTAGATAAGTTGACATTGCATAATATTATAGAGTTTTATTTTTATCTTATTTCTTGATGTTTGATCTATTTGTTTGTTTTGATGTTTTAATTACATTACTATCATGTATTAATATTCCACTTCAATTATTTATTCTAGCTATATTCTAGTTTATTTTTTAATATATTTAAACCTAGTGATAATTTTGTGTTTCTTTCAGGATGTAGATTAATTTTTTTTTTAAATTTCAGATCCAAAATGGTGAAATAGAAGATCACCACTTCATAAATATTAGTATAAAAGATAGCAGTAAACAGGGTGATGGAATGGCAGCATATATTGTATACAAGGTCGAAACGAATACAAACATTCCTACATTCAGAAAAAATAGTTTCTGTGTCCATCGGCGGTTTAGTGATTTTTTAGGATTACACGATAAGTTAGTTGAGAAATATTTAAGGACAGGGAGGATAATACCGCCAGCGCCTCAGAAAAGTGTGATAGGTAAGATTTTATTTATTTCTATCTCATCCTTAAACCCTACCTGGCCGATAGGTACTTTAGAGTAAGGGTCGGATTCTCACCTCTTTGTACAGGGTGCTTCAAGGTAGCGTCCTTGGTCCAATACTGTATTCCAGTTTATACTGCAGATAGCCCTTCCCATTCTGACATCGCACTGTCATTTTATCCTCTAACTCTGACCCCCCCCCTCCCATAACTCACCCACACATCTATATTCCGTTGAACAAAAAAAAATTGCCAATCAAACTAAATACCATAAAGTCGTGAAACATAACCTTTACCCTCTGTTGCATCATTCTACATCCAATCTATTATAACGTCAACCCCTCTTTCTACCGAAAATGTCATCTGCTGCTTAGGGCTTTTTCTAGGCAATAGATACTCTCCTCAACATCTAAAAAGGCAGTGGCTCTGTGACCTGCTCTCAGATATTTTGTTTTAATGTATCATGCATCTTAAAAAATATAAATTGCATATTGTTTTCAATTACTGACTAATCAGTAATAATTTTTAGTTTTCAATAACCTTTCCTTATTGATTGATATTTTTTTTTCATAGTAGAAAACAAAAATATATACAGGGTGTCCCACAGAAGATCTCCAACCCCCAACTTCCTTAATTTTGGTCGGATTTTGATACATCTTTTTTTATGATGTCTAGTTTTTAGATATTTCATTGATAGTCTTTTCATCTGAAGAATATTTTGCATTCTTTCACAGAACTAATTGAAATTGAACATCGAATTCAAGTTATTTACCTTTGGATGGGTATTAGGTAGGACTAGAGTAAGCAAAGCATAGATTGCTTTCCTGAAAACAATAATTAAAATAGAGTTTATTTCTTTCTTTTATCCACATCCTTTTTATTTTTTATTATTTTTTTTTTTTTGGCAAAAAAATTGTCATTTTTCACTAAGTAACTAAAGTGTACTGGAGTGATGTTTATTGTAACTGGCTGATGTGAGAGTGTTACTATCCAGTAAAACTCTCTCATTTTGCTAAATTCTATAAAACCTAATATTCGTACCCAGACCAAGGCGAAAAATTCTTAAAAATTATCTAGTTTTGACATCCAACATAAAAATTGGGGGCTCATTTAAAAAAGTTACATAAGAATGAAACAGAAAGTTATTTCTGGAACCGATGAAACATTTAAAAACTTCATAACGAAAAATTTTAAAAAAATATTTATCAAAATTAAGGAAGTTGGGGGGGGACTTTTCCGAGGGACCCTGTTTATGGGCATGTTTGTTAATAATTGAATAACCTAGCATATTAGAGGTGTGATATGTCCTCTTGTTTTAAACAAGATAATTTGTTTTTTAATGAATAATAATAATTTAGGAATGACCAAGATTAAGATGTCAGGACAAGTAGAGCAACCATCATCAAATGAGTTTGTTGAGAGGAGGCGGGCCAGTTTGGAAAGATATTTGCAAAGAACAGCAGCCCATCCGACTCTGTGTATGGACTCAGAGTTTAAAGAATTTCTAACAAATGGTAATTTGATTATTTAATTTCTAAAATATGTAACAAATGTTTTATAAAAGCTAAGATATTTTTTATTATTAGAAAATGAACTTCCTCGAGCAACCAACACAAGTACATTAAGCGGTGCAGGAATGATAAGATGGTTTAATAAAGTAGGAGAAACTGTTAATAAAATTACATATAAAATGGATGAAAATGATCTGGTAACATTTAATTCTCATTTAATTATTTTTTGCGCTCATTAAAGGTATAAAAAATTTCAGTGGTTCGAAGAGAAAACTCAGGAAATTGAATGTCTCGAAAATGGATTGAGAAAGTTACACAGTAGTGTGGAATGTCTAGTATTAGCACGAAAGTATGTGGAAGCTTAGTTTTATAATTGTTGCCTGTAACAATGTTTCATATTTTAGAGATCTTGCCTCATACACTGGAGCATTAGCAAAGACAATGGCAATGTTAAGCAGTTGTGAAGAGCATGGTCTACTTGCCTCTTCGTTGGCTCGATTACACGAACTTCAGGAAAAAGTATTTAATTCCATTTCTCATTCTTCTTTCCCTTATTTATGTTTAAAACCAAAATTTTCATTTTGTAGGTTGAGAATCTTCATAATGAACAATCAAATTCTGACTTTTCAGTACTCTGTGAACTTCTTAAAGATTATATTTCATTAATTGGAGCAATAAAGGTAAATATGGAACGATTTTATTTAAATAATTTTGTAATGATCCAGTCAGTCAGGTGATTAATTTAACCTCTTATACTTTTTGTTGACAATCTAAAATTCTGCTTTCTATCATGACCTTCACTTAAATGTTTCCATGCAGTGCAATAATTAAAATATACAAAGATCATTTTGCCTATCCTCGAAGGATTGGTCTATCAGGCATTTCACCATCAGTGTGGGATAATATTAAAAATATATTCCAAATTAGTATCGGGTTGTCCGGAAAATAATGCAGGATTTTAAGTTTTCATTAAAAAAAATCTATATAAAATATTCTGTTTACGTTTACAGGATTACTCATTTGTATGAATGTCAACACTTATTAATCCTCTTCCAAATGATATTGTTTGTTTACCTCTGTAGCATTCCGCTACTTGGAAATAATTCAGTCATCCTTATAATGTCAAAGCGAGAATTTCGTACGATTTTCTTTTACGAGTTTAAACTCGGCCGAAGCGGAGCCCAAACGGCTAGAAACATTAACCAAGTCTGGGGCGAGGGTTGTGTTAATGAGTGCACTGTGCAAAGGTGGTTTAAAAAATTTCGGGAGGGAGATTTCAGCCTTGAAGATGAAGAAGGTCGTGGAAGGCCTTCCTCTCTTAATGATGATGTTCTGCGATCAGTGGTGGAAGAAAACCCCAAAACAACTGTTCGAGAACTTGCAGAAAGTCAGTAAAACGACCGTCGCTGACCACCTCAAGGCGATTGGAAAAGTGAAAAAACTCGAAAATTGGGTTCCACACTCATTAAACGATCGCCAAAAAAATCAGCGCTTTGATGTTTGTGCATCACTTCTTTGTCGAAACAAAAATGACCCATTTCTGGCCAGAATTGTTACATGTGACGAAAAGTGGATTCTCTACGATAACACTAGACGTTCTGGACAGTGGCTCGACAAAGAAGAAGCTCCAATACATTTTCCAAAGCCCCCAACTCATCAAAAAAAGGTAATGGTTACGGTATGGTGGGCTTCATTTGGTTTAATACACTACAGCTTCTTAAATCCTGGCGAAACCATCAATGCTGAATCATACTGTAACCAAATTAATACCATGCATCAGAAATTGGCAGTAATGAAGCCCTCTTTGGTCAATCGGAAAGGGCCCATTTTGTTGCATGACAACGCTCGACCACATGTGTCACGTGTAACGTCACAAAAATTATTGGAGCTTGGCTATGAAACTTTGCCTCACCCACCCTACTCTCCGGACCTCTCGCCTACTGACTACCATTTTTTTAGACACCTGGACCACTACTTACAACACATAATATTCAAAAATCAAACGGAACTGGAAAATGCATTTATTGACTTTATCAATTCTAAAAATTCTGAATTCTACTCAGACGGAATTAATAAGTTACCAACACGTTGGGAGAAATGTATTGAGAGTATGGGAAATTATTTTGATTAAAGAACATTGCTTTAAAGTAACTAGTTTCTTTTTTTTTGTTTAATACCAAAATCCTGCATTATTTTCCGGACAACCCAATAGTATGATTGGCTCGATTACACGAACTTCAGGAAAAAGTATTTAATTCCATTTCTCATTCTTCTTTCCCTTATTTATTTTTTTTATTTATTTATTATCTTATTTATTTCCCTTAATTCCTCCTATTTCAGACCCGGCCAAGATGGTCAAAAATGATCAGTAATGACAAAATTCATTCATTTCAATTTCAAGTTCATACCTTTACAGACCACAAAGAGAAATCTCAAAATTTAGAATTAAACTGTTTATTCTGATAATCATGCTGAACGAATGTCAAAATTGTATTTATTAATTGCAACTAAAGATAGAGATAATATAATTTTTTTTTAAATATATTTTTAACATAACAAAAGCAGAGGTCATACCAATTCCTCAGGAAGCCAGTGTTTAAAAAATTAAGCCCATTTGTAAGTATGTTTGGTTCGAAGTCAGATTCACTAGATTCGACCCAGGAACTTTAACTTATAGTGACAAGCATGTGTCATCGCTGTAACTCTTGCTGCCACTTAGACCCCCTATTTTTACAGTTATAATAATAATTTTTCATCTTTGGTTTCTTTGTATAAAATTAGTTTACTACAAACAAACAAAAAAGTACAAATTAAGATGATTGAAAACCAACAAATTGATAAACAGTTATGTTTGCACACATCAATTACATCCTGTCTTAATTATGTTGATCGTTTGTTATATAATGTCGTGAGTATATTGGCAGAAAAATAGAATTTAAAATAGTTGTAGGCTGAGATGAATTGGTGTCTCGTGCCATACAATAGCTCAACGGTAGACCATCAGAATATTTGTCCAAAAGTTACGGGTTCAAGTCCAGCGTATCATATTAATTTGTCATCAACTTTCTTTGCATTAGCATGTTATAATTGTAAAATAGAAAGTTGGTTTTTTTGGGCTCTAGGTTGGTTGCATTGGCACAACTCATCACTGGAAGGGTCCCAGGTTCTAATCTCATTGGCCCTCAATTCAATCACAAAATACTAACAAATTGGCTTTTTCCTTCTCCAAAAAAACACCAGAACTCTTCTGTAGAATTGTGGTACATATTATTTAAGAGTTGACAAGCATCTAGTAGTCATCATTGTCATAAAACGGAATATTCTGATTTTTTACTTTCACCCATTTATCTCACTCACTTTTTTCTTTCTTCTTCTTCTGTTTTCTTAACTTGCTTCCCTATACATTGTTACCTTAGTTTGTTAAATTATTATTAAAAGAAGACGACGTCCATACTCCCAAAAGACCCTGCGCAGGCAAACCCAACATAAGTGTAGTCACATTCTCTTCTTCAGAGTACGCAATATTTCTTGGAGTGGAACCCGTTCAGGAAAAAAAATCAATTAAAAAAAAGGCTGTAAATTAATCATCACATAGTAACATTTGATTTATGTCACCTGACAGTTGAACTAAAGTTATATTCTAAACAAGTTATTTTTATGTTTTTAATTATGATTGTACTTCACAGTGTGTGTTCCACGAACGAGTTAAGGTGTATCAGCACTGGAATCACTCGTTACAAATGCTTAACAAAAAACGTGAATACAAAGCCAAAATGGAACTATCCAATAGATCAGATAAAGGGAATGTAGCAGCAAATGAAATCACGGAAGTAAGTTATAAATTACTCTATTTTACATTCTAGGGGGGAGTAAAAATTAAAAAAAAACATTATGAATAATAAAAATTAAGAACTTATTTTTGGATTATTCCAAGTATTACTGGCCTTACAGTGTTGTTAATGTAATAAAATGTACTTTGTCCAGTGATGCCAGTTTTCTTCTGACATCAAATTTTTTTAATATTTTTAAATTATAATCTACTGTCATGATGATTTTAGTGGGAAGCCAAAGTAGAAAGGTGTGAAGAGGAGTTTAACAGCATTTCAAAAATGATAAAGAAAGAAATGGAAAGTTTCTCTGATACAAGAATAAAAGAGTTTAAATCAGTCTTTATTAAATATATGGAACAACAAATGAGACATCAAATGCAAGTAAGTATTAATTAAAGTAATTAATATTTTTTAATTCTTATTCTTGCTCTTAAATAGTACAATTGATTTAAGTTGGTAGTTATGCGGTAAATACTTACATTTTATACTTTATTTATATTTAGAATTTATTATTGTTTTTTCTTTTAATTTTCAAAAAAGTTTTAATAATACTGTGCCCATGTTGGATCACGGTAGCTGAATGGTTAGGGAATCAGATCTCAGCTAGTAGATCCCGCAGTCTTTTTTCTGATGCCTTAGGGGAGTGGTGGCCACAACGAAAATTAGCACTCATCAGTTGAAGGTACGGCGGGATTGGGTTTCAGAGACCCTGACTTTGATCACGACCCCCTTGGAAAAACAAGTTTCTTTGACGGAATAACATTAAGCACACCTTGCTCAATTTACATACGTTACTCCCAAACTGTAATCAGGAAGGAGTGCAATAAGCTGTAAAGCTGCAGTGTGGGTGAACTCTCCATTTCCTGGTATCCATAATCACTTTTTAAAAAAATGCCCACTGTTATCTGGATTGACAAGATATTATATTAGTAAGCCCGTAACAAGGGGATCAACCAATTTTGGTGTTAAAAAATTATTGAACTAGAATTTTTTCTGCGTTGTTGGTGTAAAGGATTTGCATTTGAGTGCTTAATTTAAAAATTAAAGGTCTACATAGATCAAAATGGCATCTACAAATGGATAATTCCAAACATAATGGAACCCTCGCAATCTGGCAGAAATGTCTCAACATCGGCAGTATTGTGTGGCACCAACAATATGATATGTCACAAAAAGTCGAAATTTAAATCTAAACTATAAAAAAACCTATGGTGAAAAGTCATGTTTTTTTACCTTCGTGTTACTTTTACTGTTACTTTCTGTTCAATATTTTTATTTTATTTTTTTAATTTAATAAGGACGAAAAAGCTAAACTTTTGTTGACCACTTTTTGTAAATAAAATTCAGGTGTTGAAAAAAAAAATTGATTGACGATAATTAGACAGATTTTTCAATATGCTCGTTGTATAAAAAATTGGGAAAACAAAATTTAAAAGAAAAATGCCTTGAGAAGTTTAGAATAGAATACAACAGTATTCTAAAATATATTGCCTCATGGACTCAATAATATAATTTTTTTTTTATAGCTTATTGAATACTGGGAAGCTTTTCTACCAGACGCAAAGGCGATTGCATGAAAGTGGCCGAAAAAGTTTTAAAAACTGGCACAAAAATTGTATTCTTAAACATCTAATTATAAACTATAAAATTAAAATCTTCTCGACAAATAGCTATGCCAAAATTTGTTGAATGCTATTGAAAAATATAGTAATTATTTTCATATGGATTTCTTATTCTAGTATTTTAATTTTCTCTCAAAACTGAGAAAAAAAAATTGATGTTATCATCATGATAAATGTGATGGAAAATGTATTGTTATTTAAGAGAAAGTCAACTGAATAGTTTGCATTATATATTTATGTTATTCAATTTATTTTGTTGTATCTTTTTTAAAAAAGGTATTTTAAAGCTTGGTGATGTTATGAAAAAGCTTTTTTTTTTTATGTTCAAAACGATTGAAAAAAATTAGTAATGAATCTTCCGTCGTTGACTCCTCAATAAATGTGCCTTTTGTTTAATAATTACATAATCACTTTTGTTAAAATACTTCTTTGAATATCTAGGCAATTATCCAATTATATTTTTTTGTTTATTTATATTAAAACAAAAACAAATTCTTTTTATATTGTATTATTGCGTAAAAGTTATTAATATTCTTTATTCTGCAATATAATCCCGTGCATTATATAACATTTATTATGTATATATGAATTCTTTAAATAAATATATGTTTATATACTACTGTTTTATATTTTATGTGCATTTATTACAAGAGTGAATCCATTTAAATCATATATTTGTCCAATAATTATTATTATTAAAAGGGAAAATATTTTTAAATAATTTATGTACATCTGCATCAATCACATTTGTAATTTAAAGTCAAGCTTTATAGCCCTAGCCACAAACGATTTAATACATTTATGATTTGATGCTCATGTAAATCATAACTAGATATGAAATTCAAGTCTTTTTTAATGTACTTGATAAATATGTGTATCGTGAAGTATTTAAATATTTTAAAAAATTGTATTTTTAAAATTTTTTTCTTTACAATTTATCAAGCGGTTTTATTTTTGTATATTGCAAAAAAATAAATCAAACTCCAAGTTTAACGCTGAACTCGCACAATATAATCATTTTGACCAACATTGATTATAAAATAAATAATGATCATTTCCTTCTCTATTTTATATCTTTTGACCCACTCATAATTATTTCTGTCTTTTAGTTCTTTTTTTTATTAAATCTAGTCAATATTTTTAATTAACAAATCACAATTTTTGAAGGTAGTGTTAACAGGTATATAATTTTGGTGTACAATTTTACTCAAAATTGCAAATTTTCATTATGTATTGTTATAATATTTAAACACCATTTCTCAGATAGTATTAACTATGTCAATTCTTCAAGTATTCGTTTAAAAACTGTTTTTTACCACACTGAAAGAAAATAAATACTGGTTACATTTTTGTGTTATTAATTTTAACCTGATTGCATAGAAGATGTCACAAAATCTGTAATAATGAAGTCTTAATTGAAAAAAACTAAAAAGCAGAAAGTGTTAAAATACCTAGGTATTATCCTTAGCAAGAAATTACCCTAGAACCTTCACCAGCTACACAACCGAAAGTAAAATATCCCAAAAAAGGCTCACCAGAAAAACCCTAATTAAATAATTGGGGACTAAAACCAAAAATAGCACATTGGATGTAGGTGGTAGTTATAAGACCTATGGTTCATTAATCTGGTAGAATAAAGCTCAACAAAACAAGAAACTACCCGAAAATTAGGCAGTGTCGGAAATACTATTTAAAACCGAAAAAAGAAACATGTATACAAGATGAAGCTAGGAAAGCCCATGCAGATTCTTGGAAATTGGAACTGACTAAGATCAAAGCACACATAATTACTCAAGAGCAGAACATATTGGTCTTTCAAGCTGAAACACATCCTATTAATGCTTATTAAATTATAAAAGAGGTTACACAGAAAAAAAAAATCAGCCAGCCCTAAGAGAATTAAGATAAAAAGGTAACATCCCAAATGGTCGGTGAATACACCCAAAACCTGGGAAAACATAACGTAACAATGTATTGGGTGCCAGGGCACAAAGAAATTCTTGGTAGCATCAGACAACCCGGACAGAGGATCTGCAAGACTACCCCATTGCTTACAATTGGCTTGACAAGATCTAACATGGGCTCTTCCATCTCAGAATAGGTCCACAAAATAAAAGAAAGGAGATGTGAATGAGCTCCAGAGGTGACAGACATGGTAAACTGCATTGCTAGAGTTAAACAGAGTAAAGGCCATTGGAGTGGTAGGGATCTGAGAAAACACCTACAGAACTGTGTACACAATGATGACCTTATTAACCTTCGGGAAGGAAGAAACTCCACCCATATTATCTTGTAATGCAAATTACTCAATGGAGACATAAACTAGTGAACCAAAAAAACTGGAAAAATAGCAGCAATGACTTACTTCTTAAAAGAAGAATAGAGTTGAACAATTCCTAGTTCCTAAGAAACTAGGAAAAGTACAAGCTGCAGTGTTTGGAGAATACCCCCCACTTCCTAGTATCCATCTCCTCATCATCGCAGCAGTTGTGTGCAAATTGCAGTTTTACTCTTGGAATTTTTCAATCACTCAGAACTTTTACTAATTCACAAATTTGTTCTGCCAAAAGTGGAAAGACAAGGCCATTTAAAAATGAACTTTTTGACTGTTTTCCTGTCAAAACGGTTAATACGGGAAGCAGGATACAGTTACATCATCCAGTATGTTCTGAACTGTGGAATCAGGGTTGGAAAAACTCAATATTATTATCTCAATATAAATATTTGTATGATTTATCGCCTTTTTTATGGTCTATTTTATCTGTATCAAACATGTGCAGATATCAAAAATGGATAAGACAATAATTGTTGATAATGTAAATTGTAATTATTGTTTGATGTCTCTGCATGGTCTGCACAGTGTTGAATCTGTAATTGCAATATTATTTACTCAACACATTAACTGTGCAGTTGTTGTGCAATGTAGGTGTCATACTTTCAGATAATACCTGAAAATAAGCCACTCAAATGTGATTGGCCTCTATATATTTTCCCTAAAGTTCTTGGCGATTTATTTACGTAAAGTTCTACTAGCCGTAGTAAATATACAGTACCACACAGACCCACCACATTAGGCTAACATGTTTAGCCTAATTTTGTTTATAGTGAAAGAAGGTCGGCACTGGCATATCAAATACCCCAATGACTCCCCAAATTTTATCTGTGCATATGTTTATGGCAGGATATAAAGTGCCCCATAGTTTTTATATTTTTTAGTGAATGTGGGCGAGATACTGACATAAAGCCCCAGTGCCTTCCAAATTTTTAATTGTACGTATAGTATGAGTTTGTAGTTAGTGTGAATTTATTTGTTAGTGTGAATGATTGGTTGATTCAGTTCTCTGAGACGCGCCAAACTTAGGTTATGCAGAGTAGTTGTAGAGCCTTTTCGCCAGGCTCTCCTAAAGGGCCAAATTTTCTCAATCAAAAAAATGCAAAAGCCATGTCATTAGAAAAAAGCAGTGAAATGAGAAAGTTTGTTACCCTAATGCCCAAATTCTGAGGTCAATATAATTTCTAACTGATAAATCAGCAGATTTCAATCTATCAAAATTAAAAAAAAAAAACCTAATGCACAACTGGGACTGATTTTGACAAGAGGCTCTGCAGTTAGCCAATTAAAAATACTATACTTACCTTTTTTAAGGGTACAGCATTAGATAGAATCTTTTCTGTATTAAAAATAACAGTGAAGTACACAAAATAGCACATTCCTGGGATATGTGCAGAGAAATTTGTACAGCTTTACATCATCAGGAAAATTTGGCAAAATTTTATCTTTCTTTTATTAACACTCACACCGCCTTGAATGTTTCAACACCCATTTAAACCCCCCCCCCCATTTAAATCTACTCTCTAATGTATTCCTCTATTATGTTTTCCCTGAACATAAATTAAATTTTGAACAATTGTTATTGCTTATTTTATAGATAAAAAGATGCTTGCCATTCACAGTCCATGTCATTTTTTTTCCAGTACAATTTTTCCTCTTACCAGGAGATTCACAATGTTGAAATTAGATAAATGTCATCACACCTACATATAAAATTTTTTATAAAATTTATAATTATATGATGTAAAAAATTTTTAGCTTATTAAATTTTTTATTTATAAGTCGCCTGTGTGTACACTAAATAAATAAACATTATAAAACGAAAAAACCTTATTGTAGTTTTTCAGTTTAAAAAAATATTTTGGTCTTAAATGACCCGCCATTTATTCTTCGGCTGTCCATGTTATTCTTTTACTGACGGCGGTGTGAGTGTCAATTATCTTGAAACTATGTACAGATATAAATTATCTTCTTTTAGAAAAATAATGATTGAATAAGAAACAAAAATTATAAATTCTATTATTAATTTAAACAGCATACAATAAACTTTATACATATAACATTCATAAATAAAATACTCTAAAGTAATTTTTTTACTCTTTAATTTAACTTTTAACAACAATGTTTTGCATGGATAATAATTTTTTGTGTCTTTCTGAAAATTTTGATTGGAAATACGTACCACTGACAAATCCTTTTTATTGTAGCCAGTCGTCGATATGAAGATTTCCGAAGTCTTATGTTAACAGATTCCCCTCTTTAATTTCCACTCAGATCACCCTACAATGAAAATGTTAAAAATAAACTTCATTTGGACAATATTTTTATTAATTAACAGTTTACATAATTGTTAATAAAGCAATACTTATATAATTTTCAGTAAAACCTCATAGGTAGACTTACATTCAGATATACCACAAACCAACAAGACGTTATATTAAATTATATACAATTTTGTAACTAAGAATATTTTATTAATCACAGCACGCACACTATTCTATATGATGATAGTAATAAAAAAAATAAGATTGTTTACATTTATTGTGATTCATACATACATTTACATTGAAGTAAAGGAGTTTTAATCTTTTTTTAACCTTTCCAAATTGGCAAAAATGAAAGCCCCATTGTTCATATTAATAATAATATTTGACCTGTCATTGGTTTTGACTACAAGCCCTTCTTTCCTTTCTCAAAATAAAAATTAGTCATGTACTAGAATTCAAAAGTATAAGACAGTCGGTTCTCATTATTTAATTTAAAGTACACACTGATTTTGTGATATCTACCCATTTAATAAGCACTAATTAAGCAAGATTGTTAATATTCAAACTAGTAACAGAACTTACTAGTTAAAAAAAACCTTGTTAATATTTATAACTAGTAATAATAATACTAGTTAAAAACCTAAATACACTCTTTGAAACTTAACTTTATAAGTTTACATATGGAATAAACAGTTCTTAACTGTAGTATTTAAGATTATATACATTTTTTTGGGGTCCAATAAACCTTTTCAAATATGAAATGGGTTCAGTGAACATAAACCAATTGATGTAATAAAACAAAAAAAAAATTAATATATGATGGAAAAAACAACCCTAAACCTCTTGATTATTATTTTACAAAATATATTTCCTTAATTTTTAAGAAAGTAAATTAACAATTTTGATTTCATATCAGTATATCAATTCATTTGAAATATTTACAGAATTTTTTTTTTTAAAGAATCATTTGAGATTAGAGCTTTCATTTGTATTGTTTGTTGATATTTATCAATTAAATAACAATGAAAATTTAATTAATTTTTACAATTTATTTCATAAATAAAGAGATTTCTTTCCCCGCTTAACACACTGACATTTACATATTTTACATATACACATATATGTTCACACATGCGCATTATTTTAAAACGGGGGATTTTTTTTTTATGTGCAGAGGAAAAAAATTTACGTTACAAAAAACATATTGTTGCAAAGAAATATATTGTTTCAAAATACTTAATATTAATAGAAAGAGAAGATTCTCTCCTTTGGTACATGAATATTATAATCGAATCTAATTATTTAACCGGGTCAGTGTTAGTGCTTCATTCTCTCCTCTTCCCTCCCTTTAAAAAAAAAAAGAAAAAAGTTGTTCAGACCTAATACTATGAGACATAGTATATTAATTATATATATATATTTTTTTAAACAAAATGAATCTGTATGTACAAGCGTTAATGTATTTATATCTAAAATTTGACCCTTGATTTGCAATTAGGGTTTTATCATAACTACATTTTGCAAATTTTTTTTGAAATTTTTATATTTTATTTAATAAATGTGCAATAGATATAAAAATAATTTTCTGTAACAAAAATAGAAAAGTTTACTTACGAGGTGAACATAAATGTAAATACTAGTATCTAACCCATGATAATTAGCAATTGTTTATTAAAAAAGTTCCGTTTAAATACCTATACAAATTTGATATCAAAACTGGCACTTTTTAAAATAAACAACCAAGCATTTTCAATATAAATAAATGTGCGAATAATAAAATAAACAAATAAAAGGGACAAACTAAATTTTCAGCTGAACTTAACATTAAAATGTTATTTGGTAACATCACAAAGTCCCTCGGGAAAAAAATAATAAAATAAAAAATCCGAATATAGTTTAAGTGAAATGACTAATATATATATGTGAACTGATTTCAATTGAAAGAAAATATATATTTATATTATATAAATAACAAAATGTGTGAAATAGGTCACATATCAATTAAAGTGAGCCTTATTTAATTTTGTATTCACACATAATAATATTTACAATATTATTAACATTACTTTTAATTATCATTGGAAATGAAATAATACAAAATGTACAGTATTCAATCAATGACTTTTAATTTCATTTTGAATTCAGCCTGAAATTAGGTTACATACCGTATCCTCCCGTCGCACGATTCAGCGGTTCCAATTACAAATGCTGCCATTGCGTAGGCATGAGAGTATGCGATAGCTCGATCGCTCTTGCGATCTCTTCATGGATGCTATGCGAGAGCCACATGAGTTGCAATTTGTGATAGCTCTCCTTGCAAAGGTGTAACGGGTTGCCTCGGCGCAGTCCTTGATCCACCTCGCCATAATCATCGACATAAGGCGGAGCTCTAAAGCACCCTCGATTCGGCGTCGCAAGGAAAAGAATTTCACATTCTCTTATTCGCAAAAATATTCCAGCCCCAGCACCACATGCATGGGCATGGTATGTGCAGGCTCCAACCTTAAAAGACAAAAAATAATAATAATTTGATTTTTGTTTTCAATATAACCTTAAATAAGCAAAAATTAGAGTAGTACAAGCTTGTCAAAATGTGCGAACAAAATTAACCAAGTCAAAAATTATTTTTTCTGGCAAACACATTTTTTATAAGCATTCTTCTTGCAGCAATTTTGTTTAGTTTTGGCAGTTAAATTGGCATACTACATGCGCTCCTTAAACAAGCAGTCATCAATAAAATATTTTCCTGTCTTTTTGTCTAAATCTTCTTTGATCCGCTTAAGCTTCTAAGGAAATAATCCGCATAAATTATATTTCTTCACCATACAAATGGCCTTGAAAATGTCCATGATCAATGTTTTACTAATCCTTGTGGAATTCAATCAACGTAATTTAGGTTTGATGACTAAGATTGCTAATATGATAGTAGAAGTATTGTAATTTTACAAATTCTTCATTCGATTAGATTTCTATCTGAATTCATGTCGTCAAGACTCGTTTGGCTGAAAAAATTGACAAAATCCATTTTGTTTAAACTGAAAATGAATGACAATGTGGCTCGATCCATAACTGAGTCAATTTATTCATCACTCAACAAAAAATAATTATTTATGTTCAGTTGTAGAAAAGTTGCAGTCCTGTTTTTTTCAGTTGAGTCAGCACTTTTTAGTTGATTAGTTCCCATTAATCTGCAGAATCTAATCTCTTCAATTTTCTTTCTTGAGTTTTGTTGTTATTAAAAACGACAGTATCTGGTATTACTAATTTTATTGACACTTTACTAGTTTGACAGCATTTTAATAAAGGCTTAGATAATATATTACAACATGCTATTAAAAAACACACACAAAAGCGTAATAATAATATTATAATAAAAAGAAAATGGCTTCAATTCCCACAGTTGGTAACGTGAAGAGCAATAAAAGCAAACATTTGAATCATAAGTTGTTTTAAGCATACCAAGCAGTCTCTTATTTGAATATTAGAAAATGGCTATATTACTAAAAATAAAAATAAAATGTCCAACACCGATTTATTAAAAAGCAATCCATTGCATGCAATGCACTCACCAATACTTTGTCAAGCTCAGTTTGACAGCAGTAAGTTTGAGAACAGAGCACCTCGCCACAAACCAGACACATGGTAGGATTCCTCGAGTCTTCTCTGTCACTGTTTGGGCAAGTAAAAAGTGAAACGGTGTTGATGAGTTCACTGTAATCATCAGGTAGTCGGACAAGTTCATTCAGAGGCACCATATTTAGAATTGCATCGTTGTGAGATCTTAAGCTTACTATTTTGCGATGGCTAGCCCAATTATTGTATAATTTTAATACATAACTGTGATTCATGAGTTCATTACACGTTGAAGGTATTCCTAAATAGGCGCACAGATTTTCAAAAGTGTCACCGCCGACTTTCTTTAATGCCGGCGGAGCCGGTACTCCGGTTAGAAAGTGATAATATATCGCACAGCATCGTAAATACGAGAGAGACGAGCTTTTCAGCACCTTCCATACCTCATCTGTGTTTACACTGGGTATGTCTCTGAAAATCCTTACTATTTGTGCGAGGCATTGCGTCTCCTTGGATACTATGTCTACTTCTTTTTCTTCATCTGCCCCGTCGTTCATTTCAAGAGAAATAATAATTTGTGCAAACTGAGCTAAAAACATCAAATAGAATGAATGCAATTCTAACTGTGAGCCTGAAGGTACTGGTACTGGATCGCAATGAAATATACTAGGAAATGTTGATGTGAGAGGGACCAATACACCAAAACAATCCCAATCTAGTATAGACGGATCACAAGAGTAAGTGCCCGGTGTTCCAATTATCATTGTTAATAACTGTACACCGTGACGATTGATGGCTTGTCTTTCTTTCCAAGCTGTGCCTAAAACACCGGCAAGCCTTATTAAATTTTCTAGTCCGTCTTGTTGTCTACATGTAAAATCTCCTAGCAAAGGTTTTTCTGTATATCGCAGAAGCCACTCTATCGAATGGATTGTGTAAGCGCATGTTTTCCACGCCATCATAGGTATTGCAGTGTCATTTTCGTGTGGATCGACATCAAGTCCTTTGGTGTAAGCGATCAAAGAGAAAATATTTATCATTTCCAATAAATCTTCAGAAAGGCCACAACTAGCACCACTCTCTTCCCCATCGCCGATATCTTTGTCGACTCCATCCGACCACTTAGAAAATACCCTCAGCTGTAAGTAAACGTCACTTTCTGTGAGAGGAACTATTGCATTTAAACTTGGATAGCTATTAGGAGATGTTGAAATCAATTGATTCGCTGGTTCCAAGGTATCATCATCCATGTCATCGTCCGTTTCATCTGAATCTGAATGTATTACAACTGTTTCTATGTCCTGGGAGCCACTACCTGAAACTGCAACCGTACTACTGTCCTTGAATTCAGTGTCCATCGACTTCAGCCCGTCTTCAAACTTGGCTAATAGATTCCCTTTGATTGACATATCTGCTTTCTGCTTGTGTGTGATCGCAATAATTGATGCTTCATACCAATTGGCAAAAGTTAGTTTATGTGCCTGTGTAAGGGGCTTCCCATTGGGTAAAGTATTAAGCATCGGAACTATTGGAAGTACTGTGTTGTTAAGACATTCACAAAGTGGGCAAAGGTATTCATTCTTTTCTATATCAAATGACGTCGGTTGTCTCAATCTGTAAGGTCGTCTGTTTTCTTTGGAATGAATTGTCTGGATGTACTTCTTCCAACATGTACTATGCATTACATGGCCACAAGTTCCTGTATGCGGTGCAGGTCCCATGTTAGAATTCAAAATGAGAGGTAGCTTCTTGTCATCAGATGCACCGAAAACATTTCTGTTTCTACACAAAACTGTAGATTTTTGAACGAATGCTGCCAACACCATTGCAGGTCCATTACGTGAAATTTCCTGATCTTCCTGGCACAATATGCATGTGAATTTTCTACCTTCTGATACTTTAGGCGATTGGTTTGGCCCCAATGCAATAGGCGTTCCATCATTGGACGATTTTGCAACTTGAGGTACTTCTTGTGGTTCCATTTTTTCTGCTGTTGACACCACAGTTTTTTCAAACAAGTCTGCATTGTCTTTCATAAAATTTTGTTGCATTTTTAACATCTGTGCCATAATTGCTGCTCTTTTTTCCGCTGCCAATCTAGCTCTATATTGCTTCTCTTGCACTTCGGATAATTTTGAATTACATGGTTCAATAAGGTCGACGTTTTGGACAATGCTCGGAGATGACAACTGTTTAAACTTGTTTACGGTCCATTTCAATAAATGTTTGTATACTTCAACTCTGGAACTATTGCACAATTCCTCAAGCATAGCTTCCAAGTCCCATTTTCTTGCACGTTTGGTAAATGTAAAGAAGCTGTAGTATTTTTGTTCTTCCTCGTGTAACGCATACCCGATGAGGTGTAGGATTTTTTGTAATTGAGCTTCCGAAAAACTTCTCGATCGTAAATTTAGACTCCTCTCTAGCACCGTTCTCATCAGATATAACATTACATCACATTGCAGAAGGTTCGCAACCATACTGAACGGTTCAGTCAAAGCGGGAAGAACTGGCGGAGGGCAGCATTCCAACCCAGTAATGGACTTGCGTAATTTCCTTTGTTCTTCTTCGGATCTAGATAATTCTTCTTTGGTGTAATGGTAAAAAAATACATTGTATCTGTCAAGATATTCGCGTTTGATTTCATAAACCCCCTTGCCAGAGTTTTGACTCGGCTTTTTAAAAGTGGCAACTTCATTGATTACTCTTTCCATCCCGGTTTCTTGGTTCAAATCATCAGGAAGAGCTTTATTGACTTCAGAATGAGATAAAGGCCTAATAAAAAGTTGGTGGATGATTTCATTTTTTATACACTCATCTTGAGTCACCATACCTACTCCTGGTACGTATCGCTCACCGATAATAACGATGAGGAGAGATAAAAATTCTTCGACCAAATTTATTGTTTGTTTCATTCCTTCCTCTTCAGAACTCCTAGCGGTATTTTTGTCAAAATCCTGACTAGCCCAATTGATCAGAGCGAATTTATTGAGCAAGTGAATTAAAAATTCATTACTTTCAATCAAAGATGCACACATTTGTAAGAGAACAATATCTTTATCTAACATTTCTCCTCTACATTTCACATTATGATAAAAATAGATTTGGTTTGCGAGTGAATATCCGTTACGCCTCCACATTCCAGCATGTACTTGAGCTATCATCACCTGCGTACGGAGCACGGGTTCCAAGATTTGTTCAGGTGTCTGTTTTGTCACTGAAACGAATTCTTGCGAATCGAAAGATAAGTTGAACTTTTCCAAATGTAAATGTAAACCGGCCAAAAACCTAGAGAGAGGCAAATGGATAGAAACGGGTTGAGTGGCTACATCGTACTGTAAGCAAGAAGCGCTGTGATCGGCCAATTCTCTTACTTCGCCTTGCTGGCTTTTGTCATAGCTAGCGTTTTCATACAATCTCGTCAATGTTAGTCTATAAGCTTTAATAAGTACTACTCTATCGGTGGCACACCATTTCAAAAGCAATGTAATAACCGGTGCCAGTTTCAAATGAAGGTTAAACGCGGATTCCCATTCGGGCTCGTACTCCATGTGCTGTCCAACTTGCCTGGTTACAGAATCCATTCCTTGCATATAAGTCAACAGCGTCAAAACTAGACTAATGCTTTGTAAGAAACCACGTCTTAAATCATCCGTCCATACCTCAGGAGGCACGCCCAAAAGATATCTCAAATCGTATAAGATATAAGTCGCCCTTTTAAACGGTCCATTTGGCGTCGATCTGTCAAACTCAAGTTTTCCTAATTTGTTACATTTCCTGTAACATTCAGATATGAAGGTGTTCATTAAAATGAGCATGGCATCTTCTCGGGCGATGAGATAGTGAGCTAGAGTCGGAACTGTGAATATTTGAATAGAGAGAGAAGCAACTGAAAATGAATGGTCGTGATCGTCACGGATGAAATCTTTCATAATGTTACCGTAGAACTTTGTAAAAAACTTGGCAAAATATTTTTTGTTTCTATACTCCATGAACATGCCGGCGATGAAAAGTCGATGCCAGTGAAGCCTCGCCGATTTCCAAAGAAGAGAGTCTCTCTGAAGTATTCTTTCTATGATGGCAGGTTCCTCATTGTTCTCTTTTAAAATGACGATGGTAAAAGCATTCCTGAAACCTTCAGCGTAAGAGCACAGTTTTTGAAGCCATGTCAAGAGCCTCAGAGCAAAATTCTGATGAGCGATCACAAACGCGTGAACGACAAGCACTTTAAGGGGTCGGGTACCGCCATGCCTAGAAGTGAATTTTTCAATGTCGCTTTTTAGTTCGGAACAGTGTTGAAACGTAGAAGATTTCACGACAGTACGTCCCTCTCTGTCAATGTTGGTAACAAACTCGATTGCATCTCTTTGGGAGCACTTGATAACTCGAGCCAAAGTGTTGATCACTTGTTCGAAAGTATGCGTCTCGTCGTTGTACATCACAGTGCAATACTGATCGGCTTCGAACATGGCAATCGGATTGTCCTGTTCTGTCCCTTTAATCCGCAAATCGTTTGGGAGCCATTCCAAAGTCAATACTTGGTAAGCGTAACTCAGAATGCAGTTGAAGAGCAATTCAGTCCTTTCGACGAGATCCCTAGGAAATCTGTAGCGAACATTCCCACTACCAGACGGTATCAACGGTTTTATAACTTTGTGCTTATCACAGCAAGGGCCGATTTTCCAAGCTTCGACATCCCCACAATCGCAACAGCCGCCTCCGCCCGATGTGCCCATCTTGTACTTGTGCGTCTTGTGTATGGATTGTTTAAAACAATCAACGCAAAGGACGCACGTCGCATCCATCCCGCATTCCTTACAGTTGTATGTCGGTTCTCCCATTTTGAACACCTTCCCGCATACAGCAGAAGGGTTGTCAGATTCGGACAGCATGTTGAATATGACATCTTTGTCCCCGTTGCATATGAACTCTTCGAGGGTCGAGATCAAGTCGTCCTGAGGCTGGTCTTCTTCTTTACCACTCCAATGCATGGGCATGTTCATCGCGTGTTTCGGCACCCAGACGCGCCAGTAATCGCGAAAATCACTGCTCGTCAACGTACCTTCGTTGAAGGAGTTCATCCATTTCTTGACTATGGGCGTCTGAGGATGCGTGTACATGGACGTCAAGTCGATCACTTGTTCCAACTCCATCTCGACGTCCGACATCTCTTCCAAAACCCCTTTGATCTTCTTACTCATCGGTTCACTCCAATTCCACCTTAACAGCTACCGATCTAAAAATAATAAATTAAGAAAGGCGCAATTAAAAATTGATACGGACTTGGAGATAACGAGAAAATACGCAATATCGCTACTTACACGCTAATATTCCGGACACATCGCTAGAAATTGGATATCGAAGAACGAAGAATAATCCTCACGCAAACTGGAAACCGTTTCCTCTCAATATTGTTGAGTCCTTGATGACGGAATTGAGTCGAGAAAAACGGCCGAGGCCCACTTCCCGACACCCGAACTTTACAGTACAATTAAAAGGGATTCTTTTTTCTTTTTCTTTCAGTGTCTCACAATAAAAACAAAAACAACGGAAAAAATCATAGAATTGAAATGTAACAAAAAGTGTTTTTTTCTAATATGGGACCCACTATACAGCTGATGGATAACTTATAATGACCACTAATCTGCAATTCAGTCTCGCCAACCCGACTTGTCAGCCGTCAAAATATTACCGCCCAAACCAGAACTCACTTTTCGTCCGATTATCATTTTTAAAAACATTTTCTATGTGATTTAAGTCGGAAAAATGAAATTATTTCACGAGGGTGGCATATTTCAACATTGTCAAATTCAGACGAGGCTCTAGACACGGACGTCACCCTGCTTATAACCCAGCTACATATTAGACACTACACAATGACAATTTCTGTTTCAACACAGAATATTTAGGGTCAGAGACAACAAAACATTCTTAAAAAACTGTTGACACAAATTTAACCAATCTTAAAATTATTATAGAAAAAAAAAGATAAGAAGACAAGAAAAAAAACTTTTATCTAGATCACCCACTTATTTTCTTTTATGTGATTGAATTTCAGTAGACAATTCATATATGGAATATATTTGGAGAAAATCAAAAGCCTCATCCCGTAAATCAGTACTCACAATGACATCTAAACACTACAGCAATAATTAAAAATATTATTGTTACTTATAAATCTCCACTCACCTTGGCATTTTACTATATTAATAACATTACTGGAAGCTGCCTCTGACAATAACAACTATCTTAATTTTTAAAAATAATAAATAATCTAGATATTCTGTCGGCATCAGCACTTGCAATCTTAGTCACTTGGCAGTGATATCTATAATTTAGGAATTTTAAATAAGTAAATTATCTTTGTCTTACAATTACAGTAATCTGTTTTCGCACTTTCAAAACTAGATTATTAATTTATTTAGCCTGGAAACTGCTCCTGATAATGGCATCTTAACCCTAATTTTTAACAATAACAAATAACCTAGATGTCCTATCGATGGCATCATTTCTTGCAATGATATCTATAATTTAGAAATTTTAAATAAGTAAATTATCGTTGTCTTACAATACAGTAATCTGTTTTCGCACTTTCAAAACTAGATTATTAATTAATTTAGCCTGGAAACTGCTTCTCATAATGATATCTTAACCCTAATTTTTAACAATAACAAATAACCTACATGTCCTATCGATGGCATCATCTCTTGCAATGGCATCATAAATTTATGCACTTTGAATAAATAAATTATGTATGCATGTCTTTGTCTTATTATTTGCAGTAATCTATTTTCACACTTGTGTATGTAGATTATTGATTTATTTAACCTGGAAGCTGCTTCTGACAATGACATCTTTACCGTAATTTTTAAAAGTAATAAATAATCTAGATATTCTGTCAATGGCATCACCATTTGAAATGGCATCATAAATTTATGCACTTTGAATAAATAAATTATGAACGTATGTCTTTGTCTTAAAATTTACTGTAATCTATTTTCACACTTGTGTAACTAGATTTTCAATTTATTTAACCTGAAAGATGCTTCTGACAATAAAACTGTCTTAATTTTTAAAAATAATGAATAACCTAGATATTCTGTCAATGGAATCACCACTTGCAATAGCATCGGAAATGTATGCACTTTGAATAAAAAATTATGTATGCATGTCTTTGTCTTTCAATTACAGTAATCTGTTTACAAACTTTCAATGATGATGATGGTTACTAGGATGAGGGAGTTTTTGTTCCCCGAGCACTGTAGCCTTTTGGCTTATTGCACTTTCCTAGTTCCTTACTTAGTTCAGAGCAACCAATTTTATTCTTCTAAGAAATACTAGGCCATTGACTCTCATTGCTGTAATTCCTCTCTCTGTGTTTTCTTTGTATTCTAGATTGTCTCCATTAATAAGTTGATTTGCTTTCAAAGATGATTGGGTGGCTGTTTCTTCCACTTCATTGCATAACCTACAAATGGAGTCATTATTGAATATGTCCATGCTGTGTAGATGTTTCGTCAGGTGCCATAGACCAGTAGTCAATCACTCTTTTGAGTTTTATCCTCTCTAACTGTAGCAGTGAGTTTTCTAGTATTAATGAGGGTTGTTTTAGCATACCTTACTGTTTGTAGCACCTATAGATTTTATCCACTTCTTCTTTGGCCTTTTTGTGTATCCATTCTGTAATGGAGGATTCTTGTTTGTTTTTATCCCAATAATAGGTTCTGGGCTTATATGGTCTTGCAGATCTTCCTCCAGCTGTGTATCTGCTTTTTTGTTACCTAAAATTCCATTGTGTCCTGGTACTCAAGATATCATCAGATTGTGGTGTTTTGCCAGGTTTTGGGGTTTTAGATGCATCCCCTGTCTAGTTTTGATGTGATTTTTTTTTATATGCTATTACTTTAACATCTTCTTTGCTATCTGATTTTATGAGAATTTTTTTGCCAGTGTCATCTTTTTTTAATTTTTTAAGGCACAAGCAATGATGGCATGTATTTCAGCTTGAAATACCAAGGTGTACTTCCATAATGTGTTTGATTGTTCATGTTTTGGGCTTGTACACAAAATACCTGATTTGGTTTCCTAATTCGTTTTGGCCCCCTCTGTATACCATGTCATTAAATATGATTTCTCCTGAATTTTTCTTCTCCTTTATAGCCTGTGAGACTTTATAGGATTTAAAGAGTGTCTCAATATCATGTAGTCATGTCTAAGAATGGGAGCCTGATTTTATTATTTATTGTTGTGTGCTTAAAGTGTTTAATTCCCACCCAATTCGACTGTTTCTAGAGCCTAAATGATCTTTTCCTTGTATAAAAATTTCTAACGATGGTTTAGCAGTGTTTCTAGAGGAATCGATAGGGTTGTTTTCATGGCCTGCCAGGTTTGACACTCTTTGTATGCCGCCTAATGTTTGGGTAGCTTGTTTTTGCTGGCTTGGTCCATCAGATTAGTGAGCCATATTACTGCAGTATATAGCATTTTCAGATTTAGTCCTCAAGATTGTGATTGATAGTTCTTCTTGTGGTCATTAGTGATATTTTACTTTTTGTTATGATGTGCCGCAGTTGAAGTTTCCAGGTTAATGTCACATCAAAGAGTAACCAAAACTGTTTAACCTCATTTTTAACTGCAATTTTTAGTAATCTGTTTTCACATTTTTAATGTTAGAATATCTATTATTTAACCTTGAAGCTGCTTCTAACGATGTCCTCTTTATTCTAATGTCTAAACATGATGTACAGTTAAAAACTTTTAATAACTCATATAATCTATTGATGGCATCACTTTTTTTGTTAACCAAAGTATCCCTTTTTTTCCACTGAGGCCTAAAACATTTATTGTGAAATTGACCCTTCTTTATTTTCAAACTTCAAAAAGTGCACTACCTTAAGATAGTTGTTTTAGATAACACTTTCCAGGGTTACCCTTCACTTATTTCTTAGGCATTAATATCGCCATTCCGATGTAGGTATTTAAATGGGCAATTGCCACTGCCGGAGCTGCTTCTAACAGCTCATAACAATGACATCTTTACCAAAATTTTTAAAAACAATATATTTAAATACAAATTGTATTAACTTATATTTTTTATCAATGGTATCACTTTTTGGAATGATATCTTAAGCTAAAATTGAAATATTAGATTATATATTATTGTGATTGTATTATGCTGACTTTTGGTATCTTCTCACTGACATTTTCATGCTGTTGTTTCACAATTAAAGTAATGATTCCAAACTTTTAATAATACAATGTTGGTATATTTATCAACAACAATAACTTCTTAACCTAAATTTTTAACTATGGTATATACATTTACACTTTGAATTCTTCTGATTTTTTTTTATCAGTGGTATTACTTTTTAGAGACATGTTAATAGTGCATTAAATTGGTAGATTGATTATAATATTATTGAGATTATAAGTACTTTTAAGCTCTTCTCACAATGATTGCTTAAGCATGATCATCTTAGATCATGCAATTCTGTAATCTGTTTTTCACACAGTTAATAATAGAATTTTGATTTTTGAGCCTGGAAGGTGTTTCTAACAATGACATCTTTACCATAATTTTTAACAATGACATTTCAACACTTTCAATTACTTGTATGTTCTATAGATGACATCACTTCTTGCAATGGCATCTTATGGCTACATTAATGTACACTGATGGAAAAATTTAATGCCCCACTCAATTTATTTAGTTTAAAATTATATCCAATTAGTTAGCTATGTTTCTACATTAGCTCTATGAAACCACAGCATTATGGGAAATGAGTTCAGAAATCCAATAAGACAATCTTAAATGTTTGATTTCCTTCAGGACTGCCCCCATGCTGTACGGTTCTTCAAGTGGCATTCCATGGTGGGTCATTGATGTTCTGGGGTGGCATTTCTTTGGATGCCTGCACCGAATTTGTTGTTGTGCTAGGGAGATCTCTAACTTCACAGAGGTACTTACAAGACAATCAAAGAACATGTAGTGCCATTTGTCCCCCCACATCGATGAAAGATTCTTGCTAATGCAGGATAATACTAGGTCCCATAAAGCACGTTGTGGATGACTACCTGAATGAGGTTGGAATTGAGTGTTTGGTGTGGCTAGCTTGAAGTCCAGAATTGAACCTAATTGAACACATTTGGGACCAACTTAAGCAACGAGTAGAACAGAAAACCCCAGGTCTTAACACCTTCTAAAGAGGACAAAAAAGTTTTTTTTGCGTTTGTATTTGTTTTGAATTTTCTGTTTTTTCCACAATTGTTTTTTTAGAATTAGGTAATAAACATTTTTTTAATTTCTTATTTTTAAAACCATACCTATTTTTGGTATGCTAATTATGAATAAATCTAAATACATTAAAATTAAGGATGGTGTGTTTATTTTGTCCATCAGTGTATTTAATATTTTTTATGAATGAAATCCCTTCTAACAATGACATCTTTAGCCTAATTTTTAACAATTGAGTATTGTTAAAAATTGGATTACTTTATCTTCTACCGATGGCATCACTTCTTGCATTTCATCATAATTTAATATTTTTATGCACCAATTTACTACTAACAATGAAATCTTTACCCTAATTTTTAACAATGATGTATATTTAAAAACTTTAGATTACTTGCATCTTTTATCAATAGCATCTTAATGACCATTATATATTTAGTATTTTTTATGAAAGAAATCACTTCTTACAGCGACATTTTTAGCCTAATTTTTATGGTTGATTCAATAAAAAATTTAAAACCTCACAAAATCCAAAAATAATAATAATAAACAAATTATGTATTTTATGATTACATAATTCTATTGAGAAAATTATTTAGTCAAATGTATGCGGTGTAAAAGGTATAGTAATTCCCATGTTTTGTGTTCATTGCTTTTAAAGCCAGTGGCCAGTTAAGACTAAAAAGGAGGACCAATTTAAGAGCTTGTGTGCAGCATTATCCTCTATCCCATAGTTTGAATACAGTAGACTTTATATGGAATCAATTGAGGTAAGAGTTAAAGTTCCTATGTCCCATCATTATTTGCAATTCGCAGAAGTCTGGCTAGAAAGTTTGTTCTACTTCACAACTTAATGCTAGGGAAGAAACCATGGATTAGTCTGTCTTTTTTACTATCTCATCTGTCCTGCCATGTGTCTTCGATCCAATGATAATGAAGCATCGAAACTGGTTTCTTGGTGCTCCTTGAAGCTGTATGCAATCAGATCTGATAATAGCGTTTCCTTTTCTTCCTTCATTCAAAGTTCTTTGGGTATGACGTTGATAGGTGGAACAGAAGCAAGGACCTCAGGGCTGTTCTGCATGCCTTTGATATTCTCTCTGCTCCAGTATGTAACTCCTCTTACTCTTTAGCTTTTGCCCACAAGCTGCACTTCCGTACAAATCAGTTGGAAAATATTGGTTGACACCAAGACACATGTTCTCACACCACCTTTCTACTAAATTGAGGGCACTTTGCATTTGAATCAGTTTCAATATTGATTTTTGTTACTACAACTAGGTCATCAGGATATGGTTAGATAACCTAGCCTATTTAGTCCTACAATCAGGCCAGCTACCACCAACCACAAGAGTGGTGATCGTGTGTTATATATATTAACCAACAAAGGACTAAGCAGGCAGTGTCGAAGTGGGACTTCTTTTATGAAATGTACATAAACTATCACGTAATTACATCTAAACAAGTGGGAACTGCCCGTGCACGTCCGAGATCTCACCACATGCCTCAATATCGACGGTCATTAGTCTACTTTATCCATGAAATAGAAGGTTTGGACAACACGATTTCGTGTTTATTTTTATCATTTAGGCCGTCTACTTGTGAAGCTACTCACAAGAAACTGATTAGTGACCGAATTACTAACCAGTCTAAAACGAGTCACTTCTAATGTTATTGCACAGGTCACCACAGTTGACGCTTCTGATTACCCGTTACTAACGCGTTATTAATCAGTTCTAAGAAACTCAGCTGCTGGGTAGTCACTAGTGAATTTTCAGCATGGGCGATCAACAGTTGAACATATTATTTGTAAAAGAAATTGAAAAGCATCCTATTTTATACAGTTTTACCCTTCCTGGATACTCGAAGAAAGACGACTCAGAAAAGGCATGGCAAGAAGTTGGAAAAATAGTGAATATGTCAGGTAGGTGCCTTTGAACTATTTTAGTTTGCAATGCCTAATTTATATATTTATGTAAATGTTCTACCAGTATCATAAAAATAAATAGAATTACAATTAAAACTTTATAATATTTATGTTTGTTTGTTTGATATTTGGAAGAATGGTCAGGACATCTGGCCCAGCAGTTAAACTTAAATTTGTTTCAGTGGCTGAATGTAAAAATAGATGGAAAAACCTATGTGCTGTTTTTACGAGGCACATGAAACCATACAAAAATGGTTCAGGAGGAACGACAAAGAAGGTGTATTACCTATTAGAAGCTATGCAGTTTACCCTTCCATACATAAAGTCATTAGGTATGCCTTCAGGAAATCTGCTACTTCAGCCAAAACAGGAAGAAATCAAGCTGTTCAAACACGTTGATGAAAGTGTAATATTGCAAGGCTCTTCATCACCTCAGGAGCAACAGATTCCACTCGAGCCATCACAACGAAAGGAACCACTATCAGATATATCGAAGAGGAAACATTCCTTGAACAGTGATTACTCCCATGCCAAAAAAACTAAAACCAACCAGGATCAAAAAATCGAGGGGTTGAAAATGTTTCTACTTAGCATGCTACCGGATCTGCTGAGTATGAATGATGATGAGGTGCGACATTTCAAGCGTAGGGCCCTAGATGTTATAGATGAAATTTTATACATTTATATTTTATACAACCCATACAACTATCTACCCTGAAATTGCATTCTCATCCCAATTCGCAACTCCTTTATCAGTATCGGAAATGTCGATAGTTGATGAGACGCTGTAATAACTGCACTGAGTCCCCCACAAGGAGCTGGAGGCTAGAATAGTCCGACAGCAGAGTACTTATTATCTAGCTATTCATGAAGCCTTAAATAGGAACACGTGAATTTATACTCTATATATACATATTGTAATATAATTTGTTACATGATATTAATTAAAATGTCCAATTCAAACACTACCTCAGCAAGTTTTACTTATTGTTTATTATTTTTTTATGACAGAATTCTGAAACTTTATCTTTATCAATCTGAAACTTGGAATTCGTTAGTAGCAATAAATAAATGCTAGTGGAAATTTCTTTTTAGGCATAGAACAAAATTTTTGTGTGTTCTTTCTGTTCTGTAGCAATGATAGTACTGTTGTGGTGAACAAGTTATCTGCAGGTGTCCCACTGCTACAACATTGGTCTCGCCTTCCATGCTGCAGCCAATGATTTTGCAGCAGCCCTGTATAAAAGCAGGGGTTCAGTTTGCTTATTTTAGACTCGTCGAAGAGGTCTCAACTCTCATTAATGGAGCAAGCTGTCAGTACTAGCTAAAACAACAAGAGTATTTGCAGTGTCATCTCTCAATAGCCTACATGGCTGCCTACTTTGCCCACTGCACGAGTCTCTTTACATACCACCAACTCCCTCTGCATCAACATCCGGTTCATCAATTTCACTCTATAGACTTCAACTATTGGATCACAACACCGGCCTTTCTCAGGGCCATCAAAAATGCTCAGTCACTAACATGTTGACCCCCCACGTGATAATGTTCTGAGAACACATTTTAGTGACTGGGTGGAACGCACTGTCATGGTAGGAATGGTCTCATCATACATGACTACAGCCAATGAGCTTGCAGCAGCTCTGTATATAATCTCAAGGTCTCAATCTGTTTATTTCAGACTCGTTCCCCGGTCCCAACTCTCACTAATGGAGCAAGACATCAGCACTAGTTACAGCAACAAGGGTACTCACAGCATCATCTCTTATACTCTCAACAGCCGACCTGGCTCCCTGTTGTATGAGTCCTTTCATTTGCTACTGATATCAGTCCACGGACTTTGACCATCAGCTACACCTATAACCCAACCCTTTTCAGGGCCACCAAAACCCTGGTCACTAAACTATGATATGACCGCATTATCTCTTCAATCATCACGGATAACAAACAGAGATGATGTTCCTTCCATGATTTCATTGAATAAATTAGTAATTAGTAGCTTCGTGCATGGTACATAATTGGTAACGGATTAGTGATTCCAGTCCCAAGCCAGTTCTGTTTACTTTGAGTAGCTTCACGTGTAGCTAGCATTATGGAAGTCAAGCTATAAATATCAGTTTGTTCAGTGTCAATGAGAAAACGATAGAACTTGAATTAATTAATTCATATTTTCAATAATCATTTTAGCCCTAGGCTCCAACCAAGAAAATCTATCTTAAAAATTAGACAAGAAATATGGAGATTTGTAAAACTTTTTTTCCAATTGATTTTGTGTTTGTTTAAGGTTACAACAAAAACAACAAATCTTGTAAGGTTTTTAGTGCTCTTTCCATTGGTACAGTCAAATTGACAATAGAACTAGCATTTCATAAGGTAAGGCCACTCAGAGGCCCTGACTTGTAGAAGAAGGATCATCATCAGCCGATTAAGAATAGGTTATGTGAGGTTGACACACGGACACTTTTGGACCAAAGCCTGTGTATGTGCCCGGCAGAGAAAGGTTGCTTTGTGACACATAGTGAGCACGAAGGAATACCATCCAATATGGGAATTGTGTTTGAGCACAGTAGCAAATATCTTGGTCTCCTTTTCTGATTCTTGAAGTAAAAAGGTTGTTTTATTGTATATAATAATGACAGTTTTGGGTTGTGTTGAGAGTGGACTTATTTATTGGTGTGAATGTGTAGTGTGAGAGAATTGTTGATGGAATATTGAGTACTTCATTGACCCTCAATTAAGTTAGTTATATAAAGAGGTAAAGGACCATTCCATAACCCCGATGAATGGTATGTAAATAGGAAAGAATGTGTGTGGCTTTTCCTCTGCTAGTTGCAAGAGTCTAACCTACATAGACCATCATAACAACATTAAACGTGTTCTGGATATCATCTTCCTGGCAGTACCTGCACTGCAAGCACAGTGCTTCTTCTGTCTGTACTTTAATCCAGGGCATGTGCCTTTTAGGAGTCCAACCAGAATCCTGGTTCTGTTGTGGTTACCTTCCAGTAATTCCTTTGTAAGTCTTGGACGGCCCTTCTATGAATCTCTTCATGTGCCTCATGCCTGGGTCCACCAGGTTTTGAACTCATTAAGGATCCATTTTTGGATGTGTCCTGTTATGTGGCCAGATGCTAGGCCATAGTAGGATTCAAGGCCTAGAGATTTCATATTGGCTCCTTTTTGGCCAACATGTTCACATTCTCATTGGTGTCACTGACTTCTGTCAGGGATTCCATACAATTCCATATGCTTTTTACCTCTACCTGGCCTTAAGTACCACCTGACTGTCAGAGAAAATGGCTATCTTCCTGGAATGTGTGTCTAGCCTTTTTATTTCTCTGGCAGTGTTCAATTGCTATAATTTCAGACTGGAAAAGTGTAGCATATTTACCTAAGTTTAAAGTTGGTTCGGTCTTTGGATTCACCCCAAGGAATTCAGCTCCCATGCCTCTATTAGTTTTTGACCTTTCAATATACCAGTAGGAATTCAGGGTTATTCACTTCAGAGGTATTCATTCCTTTGGCCTATCTTCCCTTTCTGGTATGACTACCTTGTACTTATTGGTGAAGTTATATCTGGGAGTAGATCGATTGGCATGCCTAGTATGGCATCTGGCTGTATCTCTTCCCTCAGTTTCCGTTGTTCATTGATATGATAGATGGTTGTCTATTTATGAGCCTATGATCCGCGGCTTTGGCTTCTCCTTGGATTAAAATATGAAGTGGTAGAGGGTTTAACAACACCTCCAAGGCCTGAGTTGGCACTGAAGCCAACTTTTCTTTGAGTCCACCGACCCATATGTGACCATTAGTCTTACGAAACAGGTGTAGAGCCATAAAGTTATTTTGAGGTTTGATTCCCAGGTTTTTGCACAGAACATTCTGCACCTCCCCCAGGCAATTTTGGCTCTCAAGGTAGTTTTCATTAGCTGTGGATTACATGTGAAACGGTCTAATGTGACACTTAGATATTTGTTGTCCTGGGAGAATGGAATCAGTGCCCCTCTTAGGCTTGTAATTTTTAGGCTTCCCATCACCCTTTCCTTGTGAACAGAATTATTAAGATTTTGGTGGACATAATAACCTAGTCCTTAGGTCCTCCTCCACTTCATTGACAGACCTTTTCTGATCCCTGTTTGTAATTATTTTATGTAGAGGGGTGTAGTTGCATTGTTGAATGCTCCCACTATATCAATGAAGAATATGCCTATCTCCTTCTCATTTATAGATTTGCTTATGTGTTTTGAATTGTAGGTAATGCAGAATAAATCAAATAAGCAAAAATAAATAATTGTTTTTTATTTAACCACAAATTTATTTTCAACAAAAGATAATTCACAGAGAAATAGTCTAGGTCATCATTGAAACAGGTCAAAATCGATAAGTTTGGCTTTGGATTTTGGTTCATTTCTTCATCATTTTTGCTTTCCCTTCCCAGTATTCAATGTTGGAATGTAATGGAGATGAAGAACGGTCCCTCATGAGGTTTCTTCCCGTCAAGCTGTGAACCTGTCAAAAGTAATCTTACTAATATTTTTCCCCTTTTTAAATGTATTCAGATATAAATTTTAATAATGATTTACTGAATGCGGAGTTTGCCCAGCAGCCTGCTCCGAAAAATGTTTCGCCAATTGTTTCACTGACAGTCTGTCTTTTCGATTGAGCGTTTGGTCTTTGATCGGTTCCATATGAAAAATAGTAACCTGAAATGTGTAGAATTCAATTTAATAGGTTATTTATGTATTTGACAAAAATGAATTAAACAAGAATATTTATACCAAACTTTAACAGGCCAATCAATAAATCTTGTTGAATTATTATTTTTATTTTGTAACAGTTCGGAAGAAATGAAGTACACTAATCTCAAGTGTGGTATGGACAAGCTGTGTAACATTGATGTTTTGGAATCAGGGATGTGGTTCAAGAATGACAATTATTGCACTACCATTAATAAGAAGGCACAATAAATGCAAAAGCTTGATGCAATAATTTTCATTCTTGGACCACATCCCTGATCCCAAAATATCAATAGTACAGTAATGTTCAGACTTGTTTTTTTTTAACATCAATATTTGATACAAGGCACTCAACATTAGCACAAAAGTGTGACATAACATTAAACTAAACAAAAATTTTATTAAAAAAATGTATATAGAATAAGAAATGCAGAAAAGGAAAAAGGGATATATAACAGCAAAACAAAACACGACAGTTTTTCTTTAGGCTGTTTATTCTCACTCCAAAATGACAAAACATTTGTTTAAAATTTAATCGATGTACAGAATGTATCATTAAGACCTATTATTATACGTACTGTGAATAATTCAACAGTTCATTATTAATAAGCGATTTTAACTGCTTGGGATGTAAATTCTACACATCTATTTTTAGGTCTGTGAGATAAGTATAATTTATGAGATAATAAATAGGAAATGTTAAGTGATAACATTCAAGGTAATAATTATTTATGTGAGATACGTTTATAGGAACTGTACATTTTCAAATGATAAGTTATAATCTGAGGTATTTGGATTAATAAGCAAAAAGATACAAAAGACACTGTTTATAATACTAATACTGGCTCCAATGAAATGTTTTGCACATATCTAACAATTAAATTTTTGGTAAATAGCATTTAAATTGTAAGAAAGACTTTAAAAAATTTATTTTCGCTACGTTTATCATTGACATTAAAAGAGAACTACACCCACAAACTAATTATTGTAATTTATAATATTTTGTGTATTAAAACCTATTATCACATTTTTGCAGAACTGAATTGGAAAAATTTATATGAAAGGAGATTTGTTTCAAAATAATCCATCAGAAACATACGGCATGTAAGAATACAGTTATTAAAACAAGAATAATCAAATAATTAGACTATTAATACATAATTACTACGGTCTAAAGTAGGTAGTTATGAGAACTTGTTTCATAATTATGCAAATCAAAACTATACAAAAAATTTTTGACCAGTACTACTGAGGGGGGTTACTTATTGAAACTTATTGTACAGACCTCAATTATTTATTTGTTTTTAGTGAGCATAAACACTAGCCATATTTAAATTAAATACTAGATCTCAATCCTTCCAGATCAGTTTTTTCTTGCAGAGGGCCTCAATAGTAATTGCCATCCTGGGTGCAGGCATCTGACAATAGGTGTCTTATTATTTCATCATCAAGTTTATTTTGAAACCATCGTCTTTGCTGTAATAAAATCGATATTGAAAATCCTCTCTTATGGAAGTTGTAAGTACTAATAGCAAACATGTAGAAATTAAAGCGCATAATCATATAATGAATATGAAATAATAGCTGTTCTTTATAAACTTAAAGTCTGGACAATATCTACATAATAATTGATATTAAGCTTTTGATATTATTGAACAGTATTTTTCTTAAACTATTGTTTCTGTGATTTATGAGATATAATTTTGAGGTCTGCAAGGTGATCTTGTAGCTTGATCTCTGATCATGCTTCAGTCCATGGCACAAATGCCGAGATTAAACAGCAAAAATAGACAAGGATGATCAGAGATGATCGAGCTACAGTGCTACAGTAACTGACTATTTATGTAGCTAAAGGTCCTGGGTTCAAACCCAGGACCTTTAGCTTACAGTGATTAATGCTGTATCAATGCCTTAACCGTTGTCGCCACTGATGCTGAGTGATTTTATTTTTAAAGCTGTTGTTTCATATTATTTCAAATGCATTGGACAAGGAAGATGTAGAAAAGGAACAATTAGACTAAGGACACCCTACCGTCTCTTTCACATGAATGGAGTGGAAGAAATGAGAAAAGAAAAACCAAAGATGAAGCTTACCACAGTTAAACCTTCATTCACCATACTTATTACCAATTCATTAAATTCACTAATTTTGTGGTCTGCTTGACCAATTAATATATTTCAATTAATTAAGGTTTTTAGTTGAGATAAAAAAGTCAATGGCACGAGCGGGATTCGAACCCACGATCTTCGGCTTGATACGCCGTTGCTCTACCACTTGAGCTATCGTGACCTCGATCCACTCGGACACCAACTTCCCATCTCAACCCCACCTTTTGAGTTTTCCCTCCTTTTTGCCATTTTTCAAATGTCGTGTAATTGGATTGGATTCTCAGCGACAAATGAGATTGCCACGGAGAGCTTTAGTGAAGTATACTTAATTTTATATCATTAAATTCACTAATTTTGTGGTCCGCTTGACCAATTGATATATTAAAATTAATTAAGGTTTTTAGTTGAGATGGATCTAGGTCACATAGCTCAAGTGGTAGAGCAGCGGCGTATCTAGCTGAAGATCGTGGGTTCGAATCCCGCTCGTGCCGTTGACTTTTTTATCTCAACTAAAAACCTTAATTAACTGTAAATTATTACCAATTTTAGCTTTCAGCTATATTTTACTGCTAAAAGCGAAACAAATTGAAGACATAAATGAAAGTACAATTTCATTGATGATCCTTGGAGAATATTTTATCTAAAAAAGTTGAATAATGAAACATGCAACTAATCTTTAAATCTTATCAAATTAGCTTTATTTAATCATCATTGGGTAGCCAGTTTATGTTCTTTTGTAAATTGCAAGACCTGTTTATACTTTAACTTAACTAAAAACTTCCTTCTGTATGTACAGTCAATTTAAAAAGGTCAATAATTATTAAATTCCCACAATTTTTACAAAAATAAATTGTACGCACGCCTTCTTTCTGTCGAAGTACAAATACATGCTTATTGCTAAGTTGGTGCCTTGTTTCATTATGAATGTTCAACCCTTTATTAGAACTAAATATGCACCTGAACATAAAATGCCTATCGTACTTATCTAGCTTTATATATGAAGACGGAAATCATAAAAATGCATGCAACAGATTACAGGAGTTTTAATAAAAAATTGTTATATAAGTGTACTGACAGTATGCTTTCTGAAAAGCCATAAAGGAAAACCAAATTAAAAATCCTTGGAAGGAGTTTAAAGAAAATAATGAAATATTGAAATTGATTATATATTTGCTTAAATAAATAATAAAGGTCAATAATATTGAAAAAATTAATATTTGTAACAAACAAACAATATACATGCACTGTGTTTGTTGTACGGCTTTGTATTGTCGAGTACAGTAGACACTCATTATCCATGCTGTTGTTATCCGTACTTTCACTCATCCGAAGATGAGCTCTCGCTAATGAAGAACCGAAGGGGATAAGAAGAGGGTAAAACAAAATAAAAACAGGAATGAACAATAGAACAATTTGGAAAAATCTTTCAATTAGCTCAAAAGTCGAAAGATAAAATCATAGAATATGATCCATTAGTGAAACGAAGCATCAACGTAACATAATCGCTAACTCAAGCAATGGACCCTTTCCAATGAAATTTCTAGCAGTTGAAAAACCAGACAAACCAGCCTCCTTTAACAATGTTCTTTGAGAAAGCTGAAAGAGCAAACGTTGCAGATTCATCACTGTCTAGTTTTAACTGTGGAATTTATCTGTTCTATAAATTTTATATTTTTTAGGCATTAATAATTTATTCTCATTTGTTTGAATGTTGTGCTTAGGTGCATACATATTAATGTATGTATTGTTTTCCTGCATGGAATAAACTGTAAGCATTACCATACATTGTATTCTTCATATTGATAAAAACTGTGTACGTAACATTAACGATAGGCATATGCAATACAGAAAGTGTCTGATTAATATGCAGTTAGAAGAGAATGCTTCAAAACATGAAATTCGAAGTGTTTCCTATTATTGGAGATTCTTGTTATCTGTGGTGATGCTTTATGCATATCCCCGTGGATAACAAGTGCCTACTGCATTTACATAGCCATCATCCAAGTCAATGAAGCAAGCTAAATCGCAAGAAGTTACAATTCACTCAAAGACTATGAGTTGTGACAATTGTTGACACAATTGTTAGCAAATTGTACTGCACAATAAATTCATAATTAAATGCATATTCATTTGTTTGCCAATTTAGTTTATAGAAAGTTGGGCTAATAATAATAAACTAATGAGATATCCTTAATTGTAGATGTCAGAAAATAACATATGTATGAAAAAGATTAAATAACTAATTTTGACAGTGTTTAAAAAAAGAAGAGATTTTATATAAAAGCATTTCGAATTGATTGAATGTGTCTGTTTGAAAATGGCATAACTTTTGATTAATGATTGGATAAGCCAAGGCAAACTACATTCCAAAATTAATTAATTAGTTTCTTACTTTTGTGGTGTTGCGGTGCGTAACCTCAGAAAATTCTCTATCTTTTTCTTTTTTTGATGTATCATCATCTGTAAAAAATATGTTTTATTATTGTGAATTTTATGTACAAATTTTTGTAAAAATCCAACTACCTGAGTTTGAATCTGTTGAGCTGAAAACAGTATTCTTAGCTTCGACAATTGGCTGTTGTACTGTGCACCCGTTCAATTCGGATTTTAAATTTGTTGAAAAGCTATTTTTCCTCGGTCCATCTTGTACATCTATCACCCCATTTGGTTTATTCTGTTCTTCGTTGGCGTTCTCATTTAACATGGTATTCATTGAATTTTTTCTACTTTCTGTAAAAAAAACCACTTAAATTTGCATACGTGACTGGACGCGTCTTCAAAATTTTTGAAGAAAAGGGGCTCTTGAGTGTACAATGAAAATGATACGGTCTTATCTAGATCCAAGTACTGGACAGTGGGACAGTGTCAATAGCAATTCATCAAAATGTTTGACAATAACGGAAAAGCTTAAAAACCATTTATTATTTTTCATGTTCTTTATTTCCTTAACTTTAAATGACAACCTCATTAAACATATTACTCGTACAAATTATTTGTCTAGAAAATGAAGATTATTTCGATTAGACTTATGAATGGAATTTTGATTGTGTTGTTGGTGGGTATGGCAGTACATATGGTAAAGCAACCTTTTTGAATACATATAAATTTCACAGAGGATATGAAATCATACTCATAAGTTTTATAAAACAAAATATTGGATAAAATTTACAAATATTTCAAAATAACGCATTAATTTTTAAATAAAAACTGTTGTATTCTTACCCTTAAGGAGAAAATGTTCATCTTCTATATCAGAGAGATCTGACAGTTGATCTACCTCTAAGTCACCTATGAGAGGTCTCACTTTTCCATTGGGTGATGGAATTAACATTGCAACTGAACTTCCATTAGACTTTTTTCCAAGCACCCAATTTTCTTTCCACAACTCTATGTCTTCTATTTTTTTGTCAGAATGTAATAGCTCTGAAAAAATTTGATGCAACAAACAAATATAAATATGATATACATATTAAGGGAGAATCATTGAAAATTGAAGGTTGATGGTGATAAACTGTAGCTTAGTATTGGAATTCATGAATTTTTACTTCATTATGTTAACTAGCGAAAAGCGATGATAAGGATCTGTAAAACTGCTAGGCAACCTTGCAAAAATAAGCTATGAAAAAGGGATCTCCATGAATAGAAAGAAAAAAGACAAATTATATAAATATACAAAAGCAAATTGAATTTGATGGCATTAAATACACAAGAGAAATGCACTCAGACGGACCATAAGCTTTGAAGACAAAAGTCTAAAAGAATTAAATATAAGGAGAACTGAAAAAAGTACTGGTCGCTCCGAAAGACAGTAAAAGGAAGGATTCTATCAAATTTGTCCAGTTGCCCTTTATTGTGCTCAAAAATGGGCACATGGGCATTGACAGGACGAATGAATGAATAGCTAGAAATTGCACCAAAGAAGGCGAGGAACATCCTGGGAACAAAAAAGGATAGCCAAGGTTAGCAACAAGACACTCAAAAAACAAGTAAGAAGAGAAGGCGGTTCATACCACTACCCTCAATCCAAGGAAATGGAGCTAGGCAGGCCACATAGCATGTATGAACGACATGACATGGGCAAGAATAAGCAAAGAGTGGCCCAAGGTATAGCAAGAAAAAGAGATGACAACCCACCAGAAGATGGCAAGTTGAAATTGAGAAGTGGGAGTTCATTGGGAGGTGCTGGCTAGAAATGGGGTGGTATGAAAGAAAATATTAATCAACTTTTAAAAAACCCAACTAGTTTTCATTAAAAAAAAGCTGTTAATTATTTAAAGAAGAAACAAATTTATCTAAATAGGAAAATTTCATGTGTTATAAGCCAACTTAATTTCCTCCCTCAGGAGAGGCTTTTGAACAAGCATGTGTTTCAATAAATTTATTTATTATATTAATAAGGGTTTGTTATTTATTATTGATTACTAATTTAAATAATCCATACTGTCCAATGGCAATTCCAACTTTTGTAATCTACAATAAATCACCAACAGGCCTCCAGAATCAACCCCCCCCCCACGGGTGTTGGCAGTCTGGAGTCAAACCTCGGTCTGATCCGACCAGCCTCCAAGGTTGGGCTCCAAGGGCTATCAACAGTCAAACAGTTAGGTCATTTTAGCCTCCAACGTAATCAGTTAACCGTTCACACTCTTACTCTCTCTTAAATATTTTTTTTCCTATTTACATGCCATTCACTCAGTTAGGGTGGTGAAGTACTCAATGTTTTGCAATCACCCTCTACACCTATTATACAACTAACCTAATTGAGGGTCGGGGTACTATTAAGTGGAACACATTGAGCAATTTTTCCCTGCATGCTGGACACATACACAATCATTGGCCCAAAAGTAAGTGTCTGTGTGTCAACCTTGGCCTACCCTTAATCAGGTAAGGATGACCTTTCTTCTAGAAGTTAGATCCTGCGATGTCCACCTATAAACAGTGCTCTTGATACATGAGAGCTTCTTTGCTGATCTTGTACACCAACACTACCAATTTATTTTAATCATGTTTTAATGCATTGTTAGTGTCACAGGGCCAGATGGCAGTGGTTAAGTCCAGAGGTTAGGACATCCTGGGCTCAGCCGCCTCGGTGGCCTTTTTGTTACTCTTCAGACCTGTATGAGTACCTCGACAAACCACTATTTTGCCGAGAAGCTCCAGTTCATGGTATATTTCCAACAAGAGAACAGTGATAGGGTTAACGGGAACCTGTCATGGACAGCAGTAACCGCACAGAGGGAATCGGTGCAGATTAGGTATGTGGAGCCACCGACATCTCGAATTGCTAAATTACAGACAATTATCCTGGGTGACGCTACAGTGTGGCCCCTCATAATACATAGCACATGTCACACCCTCAAAACCAGCATACCTTGATCAAAGTTCTAAGAACTTAGCTCGGTAAAGGTATGACAGAGAAGGCTGTTATTAATTCTAGTAAGGAATTAAAGACAATATTACCATCAAGAATATCTACATCCTGTTCTGGCCACATTCCACTATTTTTTCTAAGATTGACGTCTAAATTGTCATACAAATTGGAATTGTATTGTTGGAAATCGTCATAAATCTCTTCCTGTAACAAAAAATTAACTAAATATTCACAAAAATGAATAACCATAAACAATTCAATTAGACTAATAAAAGTTTATGAAATTATTAGTTAATATAATAAAATAATTGATAATAATGAATCAACCTATGGTAAATACTGACATAAATAGATAAAAAATAGAACTCACTTGTACATCACCATCAAATCTTCCAGTTTTGTAAGATTTGCTAGCTATAAAAAAATAATAATAAAAAATAGTTATAATGTCAATACAATTAAAACATACTGATTCAGGTGAATTTTAATTCGTACAACAGCTGTGTTGTTAGACAAATTTGATTAAATAGAGGCTGTAAAGTATGGCAATTGAATAATTGTTGAATTTTTTTTTCACTTTTAGCCAAAAAAGTAAGGTAATTCCTGTCATTCAGGAGGGCTTATCATCTAACTATCCTTTGGGTGTCACGAATGAAGGGTCAAATCACTCTACAATACTTTTCAATTTTCAATTAAAAAGCCATGGGTTTCTTTTTATAAAGATAGTTCCCACTCACAGTTAGTTGTATTCAACGCCGATCCAGATTTCAAGCTTATAGCTCATCATCAGGTTGAACAAGTTTACAACCACATGCATTGTAAGAGTGAACACGCTGATCTGCCAACACGATGTTCCAATGAGAAGCAGGCTTTTAATGCCACTAAATTATCAACGTGCAAAAAGCGGGAATTATAACACAATTAAATATTATATTAATAAATACTGTAAGAAATAATTATAAATTAATGATTATTTTTTTAAAAATTAATTAATTATTTATTTTTTTAATTTAATTTCTTTGTATGCAATTATGTAAATGTTTTTTGTTTTTGGATGTAAACTCCTTCAACCTGATAATGACCTATAAGCTTGAAATAAAGATCATTGAAAACAACTAACTGTGAGTAGGAACTATATTTTTAAAAAGATTGAACAACATTCATTCCATCATTTATCATTTCTAGCCATGGGTTTTGGCGGGATTCGGACCCAGGCCCGCTAGTGTGGCAAAAACGAGTCTAACACCCTAACCCCCCAAATGGCATTTATCCAAGTTGGCTATTAGCAACACTAAAATTAAAAATTCACATGATAGCGAACCATTGTGAATTAATTGATTGTAGACATGATTAATCTGACTGGTAGGATTTGTATTAAAACTAAATGAAAAATGTACTTACACAAAGGTGGCATTCTTGATTGGAATCTACCTAGGTTAACATTCTGAATAATCTGTAAATAATAATGAATTAATGTATAAAACCCAATAAAGAAGTATAGAAAAACTTCTCTAATACAACTGAACATTGAAATTAGTTGTATAAGCCATATTACAAATCTAACATACCTTATTTAAGATAGCTGTCGAAAGGATATCTTCGTATGTTTTTGTACCGAAATTTCTTCCTTTCCCTTCCAAACTAGAATGAAGCTGAAATGAAATACTTACAGGAGAAACCAAAGATGATAGGTAATTTGCAACATTTGATATTTTTAAAAGAAAAATTGACATCAAAAGTAAATTAATGCAAACAAACTGACAATTATTGTTGAAAAATTAATGCTTGACTACTTTTGTACACTATGAGAACAAGTAGTAATTCATTACAACTGCTATATATATGTAAAGTGGGAGGTGTATGGGCCGACAAACCACTGAGATCATCACCGGCCCTCTGTGTATTCTACAGTTACTATTAAATAAATTATGCATTTGTTGATACATTACATGATGATACAGACTTTTAAAATTATTTCATTTTCAATACCTATGTAACATCACAATAAATAATAATCAAATTGTAGTAATAGTTAATAGTCAATAGTTTATATATTAATTTTTTATTCAATTTTGTAATTTAATCACCATATTCTTAAATCATCATGCAGATTAGTGAATGTAACAATCCTAAATTAAGAAGTATAATCATTAAAGTTAATTCCACATGGAAGTCCGAAAAGTTAATCATCAAACAATATTTTGCCCGTCTACATGCTCATTTCAAAATGTACCGGCATACCTTGAGAGAAGAGGCCTCAACTATGATATCACTTACTAAAGATTTTAGTTGGTCGTGAATTTTCCTCGGACTCTCTTTTTTCCCTTCATCAACACCTGAAGCCATTTAAAGTTGAAATATTAGTTAGGAGTGAATTATAAGCAAAAGAACAACAATAAAGTTTATACCATCTACAATGAGCTGAACGGCAGTTATTAACCGGGAAATCGTAAGAGAGAGTACATCCTCATATTTGTCCATGAAATGCACATCTAAAAAGTACGCTTAATATTGAAAAAAGTAGATGAATAGTAAAGAATAATAAATTCACAAGACTTACATTGTGGATCTTCTGTAAGGTAATCGATTCGAACATCATCAAGCCTACCTCCTAAAATATTTTCAGTAAGTTTTTCTACAAAATCTCGTACATCACATTCTCTTCCTATGAATAAAAAGAAAACCCATTCAATATTTTAGAAGTATTGAAGTGTTTCCATACACAGTATAAAGATAGTGAACATAGACAAAAATTAAATATATTGTGGTAAACAATAAATAAATAAAAAATTGTGTGTGTAAATTTTGTACTTTTTAAGAAAAAATATCTTTACTTCTTTTAGTTAAATAAAATACTTACTACCATATTTGGCTGAAGGTAATGTTCCATCAATCCTCTCCCTATACTTAGACAACACCCAGTTATTACCAATCAGCTCTGAATCTCTGAAAAAGTAACCAATTCTGTAATGACTAATATATTTCAATATTGTCATAATATTCATAAACCTTTGTTTTATTTTTAAGCAATACAAAAATAATAATAATATAAAAACTGACCACCTCTTATTAAACAATACCCAATACACAAATGACTAGTTGTAAGATACAAGATGTAAAATTCGGTAGTATACTGCGTCCATTGAGAGCTATAATATCCCCTGTTCTGTACGTATAGCACACAGGTGTCCTAGTTCCTCAAGAAATTTGATTAGTAGGCCTAGTTTTGGTGGGTGAATTTCTTCTACGGTTATGTACATCCCAAAACACTTCCTCCTGGGGGTAAATGTGGCACCACTGTTTGTTACTAGGTGTGTTGGTGTCTCTCTGCTTCTTAGCAGAATCTGCACATGCAATCTCAATCTTCTTCAAATTCCCTTTTAGTCTGCAATGTCCTGATAAGAACTGAAAGTTTTTTTGCTTCTTTTAATGCTTTCTGTTGTATTCCAGGACCAAACACTACTGCCGTACCGTCTTGCGATCTAGATCCATCAGTGTAACAGCAGATGGTGCTGTTATCAATGGAGGGGTCTTTCCCCCTTTCTCGTTCTTTTTTAGTACGTAGATCTGTCCGGAAATTTTGCTTATAAAATATAAAAATTAATAGATCCATTTTCAATTAAACAATTCTAATTTTGAAGTTCTTGGTAATTTAAAGACCTCCTTGACCACTGTAACAACCAGATTTATTTTGGATTTAATCTGTTCTATATGTCATACTAGAAAAGCATTTTTAGGAATTAGAGCATTTTTGTAGCTGCCATTTTGCCAATTTCTTTGGGTGTTGTTATTAGCCCCCTCCCAGTGTTCTATTTGTTTGCAGAATAACCGAGTATTTGCACAAGCTTTACACATTTTTTGAAGTGCTGTTTTAATGCCTGGTAAAGAGATGATTTTTCTACCTGCTGACCAAGAGAGGCATTGGTCTTCCAATTTGAAATAAGTATAAACTTTTGGATCAAGTTTCAATTTCAGCATATGTGGTTTGATTAATAGATCTGTTCCAATGGTTTGAATGCTACACATTGGGAAGTTTGTTGCACCCATTTCCCTTATGTCTAAGCACTTACATTAAGGCAATGTCATTGGTTGTAAAGTCCAGACCTGTTTGGGATTGCATCAAGGCCTGTCAAATGTTGGGAACAACAATAATAAGTTTTTGGTTCCAGGTCAGAGGGGCAATGAGAAGGCTGATAAATTGGCCAAACTTTCATGTCACCTCTTGGCCCTGAACCCTTTTGCGACATACCAAATTGTACAAAAACAGATTCATTAGATAATGGGTAAAGAAGTCCTCAGTTCAAATGGATTGTATTCGAGGAGAAAGGCATATGGAAAAGTTTATTAAAGGATCATCTCAGAAACTAACCACACAACTACTATACCTAGGACATGTTAGGGCTAGAAATGTAGCATTGCTGATTGGATGTAGACTCTGAAGGCATCCGTATAGACTCAGAGCAGCGGAAAGAAGCCAAAAAGAAAAAGAAAGAGCGGGACATTACTCTTTTGGTGCAAAGGCGTACACAGGTTAAGATTCCTACTCTTGGAAGAAAGTCAAGGCCTGAAGGATATAAGAGGCCGACACAAAGCTTAGAATCCTTTTAACTTTAACCCGCATTAGAATTACATATTATACATCTTGTAGTCTTTTCTTGAATATTTTTTGTGTACAAATTTAGCTACGTGGCCCACAGCTTGTAAGGTTTGAAGGATAATCTTCTCGTTACACATGCATATAACATACTAAACCCCCTTCTCTTTATTAAATTTAAGAGTTTTAACCTTTTTGCAAATCTATGGTTTCAAGAAGGATCAATTGGCAGGTTGTGGGAGAAAACTGGAAAATTTTCTAAACACATCAATGTTGTTTAAATACTGAGTTTGGAATTTTTCTCACAATTATCACATTAATTGATAATATTCTTTGCTATTGTATAATGGAACTATAACACAAAGGCAAACAAAGAAAGTATTTTTAACACAGTACCAATTTTTTTTGCAACAGATTGCAGGACAGTGTTGAAGGTCTATATTGTTAGACCTTGCTGATTAGATTGCTGTAAGTTATCATAATGAGTCCAAAATGAAAATCAAATATTTTCAGATGATGACTGGTTGTTATTGATAATGTTAACTAAAATTAACACACACAAAACTCTCTTTGTCTCATATCTAACTTGAATAAAATTCGTTTTTCCCATTATGTTTTCCTGCTTGTTAATTTTGTTTGTGTAAAGCGAGCTCATGGAGTAGAATAATTCATAATCATTCAAAACATGGCAGAAACTGGCTATTATTGTTGTGTATTCAAGACATGAACTTAGCCTTCAAAATGTTATTAACATTTGAAAAAAAAAAATTGGCTGGGACCATTTAAAAATAAATAGATTGGATGTGACCTTTTGTCCTTTGAAAGAAGGTTATAGAGACAAACCTCAGCCATATATTTTAAACGCATTGCTTCTTTTTAGAATTGCATCAATACCAGTGGTTTCTCATAATCACCATTATTTGCAAAATCATATGCCACCCCTTCCAAATTCCAATCCTATAAATTGTACTCAACTGTGTTGTCTACTGGTAAAAGCAGCCAATTGAGATTCGTTTGGGTTTTCTCTTTACCACCAACCAACTGTAACTTATATAGAATCTGTATTTTATCTCAATTCTCTAAATGGTTGTATTGAAATCAAACACCTATCCATTTAGAACATATCAGAAATATGGTGCAACGTCAGGTGGATATGGTTCACTTTCATTTTTTGTGAAAGACTTGCAGTTGGTCAATGTCATTCAAACTAGAAACCTAGCTTCAGCTCCAGCGACTCAACCTTTGACACTCCAGGAACATCAACGCAGCGGATTGACGCCTGAATCTCTCTCTCGGTCTACTGCTATCATCCTTGCAATGATTCTGTTTAAAATTTCTAATTTCAATGGTTCTTTTCAGGACCAGATCCAACAGCCACTAAACTTTCATTGATTGACATATCTAAGTCTGCTGGTGGTGATATGTAGGTACAAATCAAAGAAATTTGATTACCTTGTCTTCTAGTAGTTATAGGTTGGTGTCTGATATGGACTATGTGCTCAAGTGAAGCAAATTTTATTGAGTATTTACTAGCGTGACTGCATTCAGAGAATTTTGGCTGTCAAAGTTGTAATTTAATTATTTAGATAATTTTGCTCTTAGGAAGCTATAGAAATGTTATATTTTGGGCGTTTCAGATTGACGATATGGAACTCCTCTTATGACAGAGCACAACAGCAAAGAAATGCAGTCCGAATACAGCTTCATCACCCCCAGACCCGATTGAGAAAATCTTGTAGTGAAAACATTCAACTAATGTTATTTTAGTCTAATCTTAAAAGTGTACTACCCAGAACCTCTATGGTGATGCTGGGTGTTGATCTTGTCGGAGAACTCATGCTGAACCAGCATTGGGCCCCTTATTGGGTCCGTCTTCACTCGCGGGTTTGTTAACTACCCAAATGCGTTTCGCATTGCACCATCTTCAGTAAGGAATCCTGAAAAATCCTCACTGAAGATGGCGCGATGCCAAAACGCGTGTGAGTATTTCAACAACGCGCGAGTTAAGATGGACTCTATAAGTAACCCAATGCCGGTTCGGCCCTCTAAATAAACTTTACTTTCCACTTCATTCAGTGGTTGGCTCAAATGCTGGTTAATTCAAAGCTGAAATAAGCGTAAAATAAAGTTGATCCACCGAGGCCAACGTGGGGATCTCGACCCCGACTCGGTAATAATTCTCGACCTCGCCGTCCTTGTCCTTCACCTAATCTTCATAAATAAATTTCAACAAAACGTCCAAATAGCTTAAAACTAAATGCATTTTCATTGAGTTTTTCATTGTTAGCGAAAAGGGTGGAAAAATACGGTGAATTTTTTCGCCGACGATCCACTCGACCCAGTTCTTATCGCCCGTTTATGTTTGTTGTGCGGCGATTTTATATTTGAAACCAACAATTTTATCTCAGATAAGACAAAAGCCTTATTAAAATTGTATATCGTACATTTTTCTGCTGTTAGGTTTAAAAAAAGTGACGAAATTAGCTTGTCGGGAAAAGTACTTTTCTAAATTTAAGTTGGTCTTTTAGTCTAGATAATGTTATAGAAAGTTGATTGATTTAAGCCACAAGAGAAGGACCCAATGCATTAAGACTTTTAAAATAATTTCTTAAGTTTCCGGTACTGACAGACGCAGAGACATCCTAGGCCTAGTCGTCTAGTTCCAACCTTGTCGACGTTATCTTGTTATGTAAATGTAAATTTAATGTTTCTCCTCCCACTGTGCACTACTGTGTATTTATCCTTCTACAAAAATAGATCTGCCAAAATAATTTATTTATCCCTGCTAATGAATAATGTCAAAAATGACATTTTAATTTGCTTCTCTCGTCAGTTTACAAATATTGTTATTGTTTACTATATGGTCTGTATTGTTATTGGACTACTAAGATCAGGGGATCAAATCATAAATCTTTGGCTTTCTCGTGAAAAAATTGGCCGTGACTTTCCCGTGCTTGGACACAGCCATTAATCCTATTGCATCCCGCAATCAACTGTGACAAAGCTCACAATAATCTCCGACGGTCTGGACAGGCGATAAAGCTGCCAACTTTAAACAAAGATTACATTTTGAGAAAATGAAGTTTATTACTAAAGTTGTCAGGTTCGGATTTTTTTCAGGCATAAAACATAAAAAACAACCGAATTTGAATGGTAATGCCGAAAAACGCTTCTCTTCCGCATCCGATTAAAATTTGTCTATTTTTCTTGTAGTTTAAAACAAATGAAGACTGAACTGTTTAATTTGAGCGTACCTAAATAACACTTCTGATTGAACGTCCACGATCTTAGGATTTATGTGCCAAAAGAAGTTTGTTGTCGGTAAGGTCATGTTTTATGGATCTGACTTGAT